TGTGTGTGTGACCCACAAACTAAGTGAACTGTGTATCCGTGTATCGCAATGTTGCTGCAGCACCACCACCACCATCAGCAGTTGACATTCACTCAGCATTCGACTCGCATTGTTGCACACAAATTGCACAAGTTGCGGCTGTTCTCCATGTTGGATCTTCGATGACATGCAAAACTACACAATGCAACACCAGGGGAATGATTATACTAACCTCATTCCAACATCGTCCCTGCCACACCTGCAACACTAGTGCTGCTCACTTCGTGGCCAGCTGCAACTTGCTAATCGCCTCAGCCAATGTGAGCTGATTGCTATCGAGTGTCTGCTATCTTCAGTGCTGTTTGCTCCTTGCTGCTGTCCTGCTGTTTGCCACCTCTTCGCTCGCTGATGAAAACACACTTCCGCACTGCATATCCGGTTTGTAATCGATTTCGAAGTGTGCAGCTGGAACGTGACTGCAACAGCAACAGCATCAGCAACTTTGAAAACTTCACAGCGCCACATTTCAAGTGGAATGAGCAACACACAACAGCAGACGACGTTCGAATGCTCTTTTCAAGAACTAAATAAATTAAATTTACTGGTTTTAGTTCGATGTTTCCAATGATAAAGATGAATGTTTAGATTTTTTTAAACTATTTAGCTTGTGTTTCTTAATATTAATTACTGTGAATAACACCAGATTGGAGAAGGATTCCACACCTCCCCAGTTTGTCATTACAAAAATATATTAGTTTTATCTGCTCGGGACCTAATCACAACATTTTATCTCTATGTTGATTTCAGTTTGATATTTCGTATAATAAAATATCCTTTCGAATACTATATAGATTTCGTTTCCTTATATTAGTTCTCGAGATTCTCTAAATTATTTCTAAGCATTTAATGAGAACAAAACCAGTTTCTATTCTAGTCTATTTGATATTATATTGGTTTTATCTTCTCAATAGCAATCAGTTCTCAATCAAAAACTTTTAACATAACATTCAGTTTCATAGGATTATCGAAGCTCAAATCCTTGATTTCAGCTTTATCTACTCAATATTAAACAGTTTTCAATCAAAAACTTTAAAATCACATTAAGTTTCATTGGATTATAAAAACTCCGATCCTTGACTTCATATCGATTCAACTTTAAGTCCCTTGCAGCACTAAAACGATTAGCTTCAGAAGTAGTCAAATTTCGACTGCCATAGAAACAGACATACAACGTGTAAACAAAAATAAAACTCAACTTATTTAATTGCATGGCAAATATTTAAATATGACAGAATACAGTTAATACCTGCAGCAAGCATATGCCAAAGGAAAAGCAAAAACCGGGAAACGATAGAAACGACAAAAAATGCGCTGGCAAAAGTACAACAAAAAAAATTAGCAATAAACGTGCGCGCACGCGATGCCTGCCCCGGGGTCTGGAAGTGAGCCCCACTGCCCCGCCCCTCCCATTTACTCCTGTCCTGTGTCTCTCTCTCCCTCTCACACACACACACTACATAGTCCTGGCTGGCGGGTGTTGCTAAAAGGGCTAAAATCAATAAAATGCTTGTTGCTCAAGCACCAGCAACAACTACAACTACAACAACCACACAATGCCAATGACGACAGCAGAAACAACGGCGCAGTGGACGTCTTTCAATGTACAATTATATTGGCTGTGCCACTCCCCCTAGCCACTCCGCCCCTGACCCGTCTAGTTCCCCCTCTCATCTTTATTATTCCAATGCCACTTACGACACTGTGCAACATAAATAGTTGCGTTTTTTTAATACCCTGTACCCATTAAACATATGTGCAAAGGATATAATAAGCTTTTGCTAGTAAACTATATATAAATTCCAAATTGCAATCAACCGCGACGATCTAGTAATAAAGAATTCACTGGAAAATCGCCTTGAAAACTAAACAAGTGCTTCTGCTTTTAGAAATAATTTCTAAATATACGAAGAAAAAAATCTTAAAAATATAAATTCTCTTTTCTATTTTTAATAAAAGTATTTGTAAATATTAGAAAATATTTGTATATTGAAGAAATGAACAGTATCCTTATTAGGAAAATCCTTATATAAAATCCTTATTTATAACTGTCTATTTTAAATCATTGCACATACGAATTCTTAAAATAATAATGTTAAAGGATGAGAAAAGTAACATAAATGCTAATGTAGGAATTCCATGTACACATGACTAAAAACAATATCCTGAAAATTGGATTTATTTTTGTTTTATTTTTAAAAAATGCGCCGTAGTTTTTAGAAAAAGACAACCTTTAATTTTTAAAATATACATTCTTAAAAATAACGAAAACTGCGATTTTTACTGGATTATATTAACTGTAAGGTACACCTATAAGAGGTGTGGGCAGAGTATCTTATCGTTGGGCATACTATACAAGAACACTTTCGCTTATATTTTTTTTTTTGTGGCACTGCGCCAACGAAAATGTTTGAAATTCCTTGGCTAAAGTTTTTCTTAACTTACCCGTCAGCCCCCGGCGGCGACCACGCCCCGCTCCACCAGCTTTGGCAAGACATAAATGGCTGCAGGAATGTTTGAGGCACATTCCATGCTGCATGATCGAAATGCCACCGAGTTATTATGACAAACTTTGTTAATTGGAAAATATGCGCAGCCAAATATTTTCTTTCTCTGCAACCGACAAAAAACTGTCATCAAAGTTTACTTTCGGTTTACTTAGGTCCTCGATTGGATTATGTTAGTTGACAGATGAAATTGTGGGAAACTTGTGTACATAATTCCAATCAAATGTGACTGCAATGCTCTGGCCATGAATCAATCACTCAAATTGGCACAAAATCAAAATCGAAGGACTCCTTTCGATCCCTGCGCTTTTGAGTTGATTTGTAGCTGCACTCTGCGAACATTGATGTATTAGACTTTTTATTAGACATAAAAGCGCCATAAATTGAGGCGCCTTTTTGGGCTACCTGCGAGATGCCTTATAAAATGCAATTTCGGTTGCTGCCATTGATCAGTTTCCCCTCAGTCTCTCCCTCTCTCGCTCTCGTTCAATGGTTGACATGCTGTATTCGTTTTTGTTGGCATTGAGTGCGACCCATCAATATGCGGCTGGTGTATGTGCTGGTGTGACCAAAGCCAATTGTGCAGCCCCGAAATGTCAACAGCAACAGCAGACATTGAAGTCAGCAACCATAACAGCCCCAAACCCCTCATTCCAACCCCAGCCCAAGCGGGGACACCCTAACCCGCTCCTATTGTTGGTCGCAGTCGCATTTGGTTTCCGTTTGCCGACAACACATGACGACATTTTGTTGTTTGCTCGGTGTTTAGTTGCCCCCTGTGTATGTGAGTGTGTGTATGTGTGTGTGTGACTGTCTGTTTGTGTGTGTGTGTGTGTGGGTGTGTGTTCACATCCATTCCATTTCCATTCTATTATTTTTTTTTATGTTAAGCTACGTTTTTAGTGGACCGTCGCTTGACTATTTGACTTGCATTAACCAGTATTTGGCCCACTCTTTGTGCAAGTGCGAGTGATTATGTACACGCAACTGTGCCGTTAACTTAACTGCCCTTGTTATAGATATGCCCTATATAGAAGTCGGAGCTAAAACTTAGCATAGCAGCAACAAAAGAGCAGTTACAAACAAAATACAGCGACAGAGAGACAATGTGAGAGCGGAAGTTCCAAGTAGTGTTTGGGGTGTTGTTAAATTTATGCAGGCTGCCTTATGAATTGGTGAGTATCCTTTAGTTGCTGCAGGAACTAACGACTAAAAGAGAGAAAAAGAGAGAGACGTGGAGAGAAAGAGACAGAGAGAGAGAAAGAGAGAGAGAAAGAGAGAGAGAAAAAGGAGTGCATGCAATATTGTAATTTATACTGCATACTTTTAGGTTAATTAATATTTTAATAGTTTTAAATGCTTGTATTTTTAATGAAACTTTTGTAAAGCTTTGCAAATTGGGCCACAAATTAAATATGGATGCTTGCTTACCATATATAATTACATTAGTTTAATAATCATTACAATACTTTAAGTTTTGCTTGAATTGTTCATAGAGTCGGACTAGGCGTACCTAAATTTAAAGCACTCACGAAGGAAAACAACTAGTTTTTCAGTGTTTCATAATACGTATTTTAGATTGATAATAAATATATATATACATATATAAATATATATATAAATAAACATCGCTGGCAAGCTTTATTGCTGCAAAATGTTCGCTGATAAATTGATTGACTCTTGATTGGGATGGCCTTAATTTAAAGCAACACTTTTTACAATGCTTTAGGCTGAGCGGAGTATTCTGTTTTGAGTATTTGCAAATTGTGACACGGCTTACTTTTGGGCTGGTTTAATTGACCGCTGCTGTGACCAATATTTACTGGGTATATATATATATATATATATATATATATATATCTTTATATCAAGCCTACAAATTCCGGAGCAGTCTTAATTGTTATGGTTGTCGTGCTGTGAGGCGTTGACTGCGAGCGCCTGTTGTTGTCACGTCTGTTGACGCTGCCCGTTGCCAATGGCAACCAATACTCGCATGACAAACACTAGTACTACTACTATACACACAAACACACCACACACACACCACATACACACCACACACTCAACACACACACGCACAACAAAGCTACTGTGTGCACAAAGTATGCTTTCAATCAGGAACTGAATTGAAAATCCATTAACGAGTACACAGCGAAGGCAGCTGGTCGCAGACTGCGGGCGTTTCGCTGCAGGCTGTGCAACAACGTTGAGGGGCAAAGGCGCTGCTTCTGCGAAAGTGGCGTGGTTGGCGATGTATATGGGCTGCAGTTTACTTTCAAGTCACGGCTACGTTCGTTATATTTTCTGCAAGAATAAAAACAAATTTGCTGCTGCAGCAGCAGCTTGCACCACCAACAACAGTTCTTGCAAAATAAATTAAATAAATATATAGTCGCAATAACGAAAAGTCTCAGAACGTACAACACGTGCCGTATGCCACACATGTAAATATTGCAGTTGCCGTTGCATTTTAAAGTAATGCAAGTGTAAACTTCAACAAAATCAACACCACAAAAGTGAATAACGAAAATACGCTTAAAAAAAATAAAGAAGAGAAAAACGTTAAAAATCGAAATCGCCGCTAACGAAATCAAAGTCAATAACTGAAAAAGATAAATCGAAAGAGTTAAGCCTTATTGACGATGCTAACCTGCGTGTGTCGGCCCGTGTCGGGCAATCTGCCCAAAATGCCGCCCGCCTCACTGATGCCCGCCTCGAGAGCGTCACTCAACCGTAGCAGCGGGGGCAACGGCAGCGGGGGCAGCGGGAGCGCCACCGGTTCCCATAGTCCCACACGAGTGGTGACATCCGAACCCAAGCTGAACGTAAGTAAAACGGCAGACCATCAATTACACTGCGCGATTTGAATGCAACACAAGTCATCGATTATGTTCTCCCTTCCATTAAATTTGTCTATAATTTCATAATTTTCCATTCTTATGCTTTATGTTAACTCGCCTCAAAGTTAAAACCTGACAACTTAAATAATACACTCAAGTAAGCCGCAAGAAGCTATATATGGTAAAGTGTCTTAGGCATTACATATTTTAGGCATATTATGAACGTAGAATATGGAACATTAATCACTTGTTCAACTCACGTTTGAGTTGTGTATTGGATCGAAAGTAATTTCGATGAGGGAATCAAAGTAAATCAAATTTTTATGTGAGTTTTAATCGGTTAATTCCGAATCCAAGTTAAGGCATTGGGGAATATTAAATTTCGACTGAGGTTCTGAAATTCGATATGTTAATTTCGTCCAACGCTTCCGGTTCCGGTTTGATCTCCAGACTTACACATAACTTACTATCACGATTTTCAAGAGCTTTTATTTTTCTTTAGTATTCAATAATTGAAATAAATCGGAAACTTTGCTCAGTGTACGATTAAGTAGCGTCAAATCAGCACACAGATAGACAGACACACAGACCCAGGTCGCTATGGGAAGAACTTTAATCTATTTATGCGAACGTTTCTTTTTGTCATTCAGAGCTGTAAATTTTGTTGTTGTTGCTTACGGCTTTTCCGCTAGGCCTCAAATAAAAAGGTAGCAAATTAGCTTTCATTTTTCACACACATAAACATAACTTGATTTATGGCAACAAACGGAGGGGCGGGCTGCCAACGGGCCGTGACCGTGACCACGACCACGACCAGGAATAGTAGAAGATGTTGACAACTTGACTCCACTCGACTCAACTCGAGTCGAGTCGAGTCGAGTCGACTCGCCTTGTCCTGACGTGAGTTGAGTTGAAAGTAACGATTGCAGATAACGTTTATAAATTGTGGAAATTTCATTTTCACTTTGACGCCATTGACGCCACTGAGTGGTGGCATGGGTTTGTTGGGATGACGATGACGATGGCGATGACGACGACACCTTGGAGCAGCTTATCTCACAGCTGAATCTCTAACGATCTGTACACACACACATTTACACTCACACCCTACTCTAGTCTATGTCCATATATATTTATATATATATATATATATATTTAGTATAATCCAGTAATCCCACCCACTTACACACATCGTTCTTCCTTTTTTTTCGTCCCTCTCATATATGCAGGTGCCCAGCAGGCTGACGTCAGCCGAACTGAGGGCGATGGCACTGCGACAGCAGCAGCAAATCGACAGCCAGCACCAGCTGCTGGCCACAAAGGAACAACGGCTGCGCTTCCTCAAATCGCAGGAGGTGCGCAGTGCGGTGGCCAGCGCCGAGGGTGAACGGCTGCGCCGACTGAGGGAGCGTGTCGAGGCGCAGGAGTCCAAACTGCGACGCTTACGCGCGCTGCGGGGTCAAGTGGATCTGCAGAAGACCTACAATGTAACGCTGAGTGAGTATGGGATGTGTATGGCTTTAGGTGGGCGAAGGTTGGATGCGTTGGAGGGGAGGGGTTAACAAGTGCAGGCCAACTACAGAGTGAAGATGAGTCCAATTGAGTTAAGCACCGCATGCAGCAAGGCGAGCGCATTTACTATGTGTTGGTGTGTGTGAGTGTGTATGTGTGTATGTGTGTGTGTGTGTGGTGTGTGTTTTTGGGTGCCCAAGAGAGCAGGGACTGCTGCCCGGGATTAACATGTGTTAAAATCGTGTTGAGTGGCGCTACCTTAGTGCGTGTGTGTCTGTGTCTGTGTTTGTGTGACTTTAATTTATGTATGTGTGGCACTTTGTTGTCCTTTATGATTGCCAGTGGGTGGCTCTTGAGTTCGCCTGCCAAAGATGTTATCCATGTTGATGTCCTTGTTCGTGTCCGCATTGGCGATTTATGCCAACGCACACACACACACACACACACACACACACACATACGCTTACATATCTCAACCTGCTGGCTAGGATGCTATGTTAATGAGGTTTCATTTGCGTCTTGTTAGATGATAATTAGTTCAGGCAGCAGGCCACCATTTAGTTGGCCCTTCGGCATGTGTGACCAGTCGCCGGAAATGCCAACTGGTGTTGATGAGCAAATTTACAGAAATATGCCAACGCTTAAAACAGATGTACAAATATGTAAAAGGGTTCAACGTGAAATAAACATTTGAGCAGCTGCAAAACCGATAAACATTAGAATAGTAAAGGGTTTCATCATCATTTCCATACCCTTGTCGTGGATACTACAAGTTTGTAACGAATTAAAGGTGACTCTAAATCAGTAATTGCTGTTCTTTCCGGATCTCTTTTTGGGCATGAATGTGTCCAAGTTTTTTACTACCACAAAACTATTGGAAAAAAAAAACTATGCACTTTCCTCTTATGATTTTCTCTTACTTAAAAGTGTATTTGAGCAGCGACTCTTAAAAGAAAAAACCTGTGTCCAACCGCCTTCAATTAGCTGGCAAGTGCGCTAACTTCATTAGCGGTTCGTTTGGGATTGGGCCAGTGGGTGTTTTGGCGTATCCTTGAGTTATGGCAGCTAATCCGTTTAACTTTTGTGCTTAGGCAATGACTTGGACTCGATTCGTGCTCTGTTCAGTGAAAAGGAGAAGGAGCTTAGCCTGGCGGTGGCCAAGGTGGAGGCGCTCACCCGCCAACTGGAGGAGCTGCGACGTGACAGACGATGTCCGGTCAATTTGTTGGCCGCAACGGGACAAGCGGGCGCGACTCAAGCGTTGCCGCCGCAGGCATCACGGGAACTGGAGAAGCTGAGGCGTGAATTAATGGTAAGTAAAAGGTCTTCTACTATGCACTGAAAATAAACTGAAAACTGAAAAAAATACCTAAATTGTCTGTAGAATGAATGAATGCAGAATGTAGGAATAATTAATAGCAGTCATTTTCAGTGTACACATAAATCGCTTGTGTGGCGTGTTCTTTAATGGTGACGCTAAGTGAAATACTTTAATATTGTGAGATTGAAATTAATGTCATTTAAGAGAAAGTGATTTGATAGTGTTAAATCAGTGTAACACGAGCAGCTTGTTCAACTGGAGAATGGCTATAAATACTTTCGAGTGCCCTTAGTGCTTAAGGTAGTTTGAATACTTTGGTTGTCCTGGGTCTGGGTGAAAACAATTAAGCCATCTTCAAGCATGTGTGTGCAATGTTTCGGCAAAGAAGAGCTGCTTAAAATTTAATTAGCTGTTTTCATGCGTGAATTCATGTAAATTTCTCAATATATAAATGTGTTGCAAACTAATGGAGGGATTCCTGCCATAAGTCCGATTATAACACCGAGTTCTAGTCGTACTCTATTAACGTGAGATTGTGTGGAATTATTATTATTTTTGTTTTAATTTTAAGCTTAGCTTAGTTTTATGAGAGTCTTAATCGGGCAATCTAAATTAAGGCAATGTTATTTTTGTTGTGTATTTGTTATTCGTTTAGCTCTCGTCTGTGGGAGCTTTAAAAGTCAGAGACTTGCCAAGAATAAGCCCGAAGTATTTGTAAAAATGCTTGCGTTGGGTATTAAAAGCGTACGTGATACTTGTTTGTTTGGTCTGTTTCTTCGGAGTAATTAATATTTACTCTCAACATTTCTTTAATGGTGTCTTCTAGTATCGCAATCAGTTATCCTTGCAACAAGATGCACGCTTACACATGCAACGCGAGGCACTGCAGCAACGGCAGGCGGAGCTGCGTTCGGTGGATCAGCGCATTTATGAATTGCAGACACGTCTGCAGCGCAAGAAGCAGGCAAACACACACCACCAACAGCAGCAGCAGCAGCAGCAGCAGCAACAGCAACAACAGCAGCAGCAGCAACAACAACAGCAGCAGCATCAGCAAAAGCAGCAGCTGCAACAAAAACAAAAACAGCAACAACAACAACAACTGCAACAGCAACAGCAACAGCAACAACATCAACAACAGCAATCAGCTGCACAGCAGCAACAGTTGCACGTACAATCAGCTCAGTTGCTGGCAGCAACAGCTGCTGCCGCCCAGCAACAACAGCAGCAGCAGCAGCAGCAACGCAAGTCCGCGCCGCCCGCCTCCAACCTGTCGAAACATGGCGGCGTCGCTGCCTTGAAGCAGCAACTGTTGCAGAAGCAGGTCAATCAGCTGGCAGCGGCGGCTGCTGCTGCTGCCGCTGGACGGGCCGCGGAACGTTCAATTGTGCGCGGCAGCAGCGGCGTCAACGTTGCCGCCGTCGAGCCCTTCATACACACGCCACAGAAGTCAACGATAACGTCGACGGCCAGCTATCTGAGTGCGGGCAATATGCTGAAACATGCGGCAGCAACGGCCAACACCAATCAGCAGAATCAGCTCATCCAGGATCTGAGCCACAGCAGTCACGTGAAACTGGCCCCAGGACAGAGTTACTATCCCAGTGGCAGCAATGCAACGCCAGCAAGTAGCAGCGAGAGCGACGAGTCCAAGTTGGCCAAGAAGCTGCTCACAGCAGCTGCTGCTGCTGCTGCTGCTGCGGCGGCGGCGACGGCAACGACAACAACACCTGTCTCCAAAACCAAATCGGATGCGGAGCAACTGCGCAAGCAGGCGCAAACAGAGGCCATGGATAGCACCACACACATTTATGCCGAGGTGGGACCCAAAAAGCGGGACAGAGAAGCGGCTGCAGCAGCAGCAGCAGCAGCGGCAGCGGCAGCAGCAGCTGCGGCAGCGGCAACTGTTGCTGAAACCACTACAACAACAGCAACAACAGCTGCAGCAACAGCATCGATAGCAACCACCTCGCCCGCAGCAGCTGCCAGCAAAATACCCAAATGCATATCCATCACCAGCAGCAGCAGCAGCAGCAGTTCTGCGACGGCTCTCATCAACAAGCTCAACCAGCAGGTCGTCAAGGACACACAGGAGTCCGCGAAGAAGAATGAGATTGCGGTGACAAGCGAGACGCTATCGGAGCGCAATACGCAACAGCAGCTAACTGTGCACAGCATGCCACTCGGGGCAGTTAGCAAATCTGTAGCCATTGCCGTATCCAATTTGGCAGTCAGCAAGCAACAAGTAGCAGTGCCTCCACGAAAGCCGATCAGCAGCGTGGCGCCCACTTCAATGAGCAACAGCAACAGCAGCAGCAGCAACAACAGCAGCAGCAGCGGCAGCGCCATACCCAAAATGATAACATACAGCCCAAAAGTGAATCGTGTGGCGCCCAATGTGATCAACGCTGCTGATCCGAGACCCGCACTGCCGCCCAAGCCGAGCAAAATGTCGCCAACAGAGAGCGAAAACAGCAGCAGCAGCTGCGCAACAGCAACAACAACCGTTGCAACTTCAACGACGGCCACTTTTGGCCTGCAATCGCTAAACATCAACGACAACTTGCCCATCAAGGCCAAACCGCTGACAATACGCAAGCAGCCCATCTTTGAGCAGCCGCCGCGTTTGAAGGCAACGCCAAGTGTCTCCCTCTCCAAGCCTGGCCCACAGCAGCAACAGCAACAACAGCAGCAACAGTTGCCACGCAAGTCGGAGGCACCGAAACAAGCTGAGACAAGAAACGATTCACCGCAGCACTCGCCCACCACTAATTCACAGAGTGGCTCCAGTGTGGATGAGCCAGATCGCATCAGCAATCAACCAGAAAACAACAACAACAACAACACCAGCATCAACAGCAACAGCAACAGCAAATGCAACAGTGGCAGCAATCTCAAGGAACGCACTGCAAGCAAACCGAAGCTGGCACGCCGAGTGAGCTTTGATCCGTTGGCACTGCTTCTGGATGCCAGCCTGGAAGGTGAACTGGAGCTGGTGAAGAAGACGGCAATGCAGGTGGCCAATCCCAGTGCTGCCAACGATGAAGGCATCACAGCACTGCATAATGCCATCTGTGCCGGACACTTTGACATAGTCAAGTGAGTTGCTTAACTGAGCCCATGGAAATGGTTCTCTTCATTACTTTCTCAAATCCCTTGCAGATTCCTTGTACAGTTTGGCTGCGATGTGAATGCCCAGGATTCGGATGGCTGGACGCCGCTGCATTGTGCCGCCAGCTGCAATAATCTCAATATGGTCAAATTTCTTGTGGAGAGCGGCGCCTGTTTGTTTGCCTCAACGCTGTCTGATCATGAGACGCCCGCGGAGAAGTGCGAGGAGGATGAGGAGGGCTTCGATGGCTGCTCCGAGTACCTGTACAGTAAGTACACAAATGACAGCTCAGTTATTTTACAGATGTAATCAACGAATCAAACTTTAATTAAAAACTACAAGTGCTAAACTGTCTGATTGCTCAGTAAACCAACAAAGGATTACTTTTTAGGAGGAACTCTATTCTGATGTTGAATCTCTTATTTGCAGGCATACAAGAGAAGCTGGGTATTCTGCACAATGGCGACGTCTATGCCGTGTTCTCCTACGAGGCGCAGAACAGCGACGAGCTGAGCTTCCATGTGAACGAGCCACTGATCGTGTTGCGCAAGGGTGATGACTCCGAGAACGAGTGGTGGTGGGCACGCAATGCCACCGGCGACGAGGGCTACGTGCCACGGAATCTACTCGGAGTAAGTTGCCACATGCCACAGTAAAAGTTATCAGCTAATCATTTCTCCCCCTCTCCGTCTGACTTCAGCTCTATCCACGCGTGCCGCCGCAATCGCCACATTTCGGCGATTAGCAGTTAATACGCTTTACTATATTGAAGCGCAAGGCTGGGCGGCTTGTGCAGAAGCGCTATATATCCAAGTATATCTGAACAGCGGATTCCGAGCACGTGCACGGACAGCAGCGACACTGCAGCACCAAATGGGCATTTTAGTTATGAGCTGGCATTACTTATCACGGCAGCCTCATGTTTTTCTTTCCTGTTCACTTTTTGTTTTGTTCGAAAAAGCCACATGAAGGAAACCAGGCGCACTCAATAAAATATATGTATATTATTATATATGCACACACACACATATATACACACTTGCTATATGGCGCAACATACGGCAAGTTGTGTATGATTGTGTGTCTGTTAGTTGCACGAGAGGCAAGCCATGTTGAAATGTGCAACATTTGCCAACTTCAGCTAAAGCGCCAGCGGCACCAGCAATTTATCACAGAGGGACATTAGCCAGCACTAGCCATAATTAGCTAGTGTCCTGGCATCCTGGCATCCTTGCAGCCTGCCACAATAAATTGGATTTCACTTAAGCCCCGAGACCAACCCCTAGATTAAGGCATAGACTAATAACTTAAGCAATACACATCCCACTTCCCACATCCCACATCACCCAAAACTGAACCTAATTCCACATCCAGCCCCAACAGCGCACCACAAATTGCTTCAACTTTGTGCATAAATGAAAAGTGTTGCAAATTGAAAACGAAATTTTAGATTAAAATTCAATGCAATATGCTATGTACTTTGTGGTTGGAAAACCAGCTGTTAATTGCCAGCAAAAATGTAAGTTGCTACAAATTATATATTTAATTCGATAATTGCATTAATTTACACACATTTTACACACACAAAAACAAATCGAATGTGATTTTTGTATTGTATAAAGCGAAATGAAAAAAAAAGAAGAAAAACTTAATATTTAATAATCGTTAATATTGCATAATGTACAGTACTTACTACCTATGTATGACTAAAAAGCTGCTTCGTTATCAAATTACAATTCTTAATACAATAAAATTTAGTTTAGAAATAAATAATACTTTATATATATTATATATATTATATATAAATGCCTAATGCCTACCACCTACCACCTACTTCTAGCATTAACAAAAAAAAAAAAAAAATATACAAATCAAACCACAATAAATTAAATTGGAAATGCAAAAATAGACTTCAAGTTGGGTGTTTATTGTAGCTTGAAAATACAAGGGGTTTCACGAGTGCTTGCAAGCCATGACTCGCCCATATCCTTAAGGATCTCAGAAGGTCACATATTGTCCCAGGAAAAACGAATTAATGGACTCAAAAAATGTATCCAAGCATTAAAGAAACACGGGGAAAATTGAATAATCCGACGTAACTAAAACTGATAGCTTTGCCATAGCCGAGGCAAAATTATTTTTGTCTGGATCAGGGCTACCAACTCGCTAAAGGACATTCAAATCGTCCGTGAGGTTTCTGAGGAAACACTGATTTGATGGTTTTTTTAATCATTTTCGGTGGCTACGTCAAATTTTTACAAGTGTTTGGGTTCTTAGATAACCCCATAATCCTTGGACGTAGTTCAGATGAGATCGATCCTAGCTTTTCTAATGTATCCTAATGTGTCCTTTGACAATCCCTAAACATTTAGTTGAAGCTCTTTTTCTGAAAAGCAATTGACACACACATTTTGCCCGCCCTAAAAATATGCATTAATTATCGACATTTTCTGAGACTAGTAAGACAAATTAATTTTATTGTTCATCCTTATAATATGCTACGTAATTCTTATTTGGCCTTGACTTTTGAGAACAATTTGAATTGCCGAAATACCAAAATATTCGCATGTGTAAACCAATTATAAACAATTTTAATTTCTTTATTTAATTTTAATTGATTGTTCCACTCACCAGTCCTCCTTGTACGCCCCTTTTCGGATCTAATATAAGATTTTAATGAATGTAGCGTAGAAGATTAGTATACAATTTAACTGCCACTAGAAATGCGTAAAAAACTTGATTCGAAACCAGTTTGGATTTCGTCGAGTCACTGTATTTTTCGAAATTAGCTATTGCATTCGGGTAAGCCAGCGTAAAATTACCCTGTAGGTCTAATATTCATGTTTGATTCGTAAATTACTCTTACCTTGTTAGTCCATCATTTGAATATTTTCCACTTAGACTTAGGAAAGCTCACAAGTCACTTCAAGTTTGATTAAGAGAATCATTGTTTTAGCTTAAATGTTATAGTTTGAACAGAAGTGTTTTAGACTTTTAGCAGTACAATCGATCATTTGAGAGAATACAGGGTATATACGATTTGTACGCAAACAACTTGAAACAATCATTCATTGTTATATGATGAAAGCCCTTCGGGTAGCGCCTCAGTCATCTGTGAACCCTAGCACGTATCAATTGCTTAGGAAATATTCGTCGTTCAGTCACTATATATAGTGAGTATATTTATTTATTTATTAGTTCTCATTGAATTTCCGCAATGCACCTGCAAGCGTTGAGGCTTGCCTTGCTGTGCTCTGTACTGGGAGCTCTGACGCAGGTGCGGCCGGTGGATGGGGCTAAGATATTAGCTGTGTATGCGTTTCCAGGTAAGCAGGCTTCACTGTACGAGAACAGAAGAATGTACAGATTATGCTGAATGCAGGTAAAAGTCATTACATGATGCACACGGCGCTGATAAGGGAGCTTATCGAGAGCGGACATCAAGTCACGATGATTGCTGCATTTTCACTCGAATCTCAGCAGTTGGGCAGCAACTACACAGAACTACTGATAGAGCCTGTCTATGATTTCTGGCATGATGGTGAGCAATATTGTTTGAGGCCTATCAGACAACTGATATCTCTACGGTTACCACAGTGAAGCTGAACTTTGGCGTACAGCATCTGTTTGATTTGACGCGCATGAAGAACTATGATTTTCTCAAAATGCTCGAAATTATTGGATTAAAGACAACGGAACATGCGCTGCTGCAGCCCAAAGTTCAGTCATTGATCCATGCTACTGAGACGGAGGGAGTTTTCGATCTGCTGCTCGCAGAGCAATTCTATCAGGAGGCCTTCCTGGCTCTGGCTTACAAGTACAATATACCGATTGTTACCACCAGCACCTTGGGCTATGAGAATCACATGAGCCAAATGATGGGCCTGATAACACCCTGGTCTTTTGTGCCGCACGGCTTTATGCCTTTCACCGATCGCATGTCCTTTTTGGAGCGCTTGAGAAACACATATGTTTCACTGTACGAGGACTTGGATCGCCTGTACAATTACTTTCCCAAAATGGATAACCTTGCCAAGCAGCACTTTGGAAATGTATTGGGTGAGTGCGAACACTTTGCTATCCTTGAAAAGGGTATTAAATATATTTCATCCTTGCGGTCGCAGCTGATGTGCCCAAAGTCAGGCAAATGGAGAAACAAATCTCGGTAATGCTGCTAAATAGTCACGCACCGCTGACAACGGCACGTCCCACTGTGGATGCGATGGTCCCAGTGGCTGGCATGCATATCTATCCGCCCAAGCAGTTGCCCGCAGATATGCAAAGTTTTCTCGATGCGGCAACAGATGGTGCCATCTTCTTCAGCCTGGGTAAGGAGGGTGCAGCTACAGATTGAGGTTATCTCAACTCCCAGCTCAACTTTCTCTCACTCTCTCTCAATGCAGGCAGTAATGTGCAGAGCAAGGAGATGCCGGCGGACATGTTGCGTCTGTTCCTGCGTGTCTTTGGGTCCCTCAAGCAGCGCGTGCTCTGGAAATTTGAGGATGATTCGATTGGTCAGCTGCCGGAGAATGTGATGATACGCAAGTGGTTGCCACAGGTGGACATCTTGGCTCATCCGAATGTCAAAGTGTTTATCACACATGGCGGTCTATTTGGCACACAGGAGGGTGTCCATTATGCTGTGCCCATGCTGGGCATACCCTTCTACTGTGATCAGGTAAAGGTATTCAGTTTGCTTAATGAATAATATTATAGAAATGATCTGTCTCTTGCAGCACCTGAACATGAACAAAGCTGTGCTGGGTGGCTATGCGATCAGTTTGCACTTTCAATCGATTACAGATGACCTTCTGCGGAATTCGCTGTTGCAGCTCATCCACAATTCTAGCTACCAGGAGCAGGTGCAGCGCGTCTCCCGCATCTTCCGCGATCGTCCAATACAGCCACGCAAGAGCGCCGTTTACTGGATCGAGTATGTGATCAAGCACAAGGGTGCACCACACATGCGTTCCGCGGGGCTCGATCTCGAGTGGTATCAGTTCTATCTGCTCGATGTGATTGCCTTTGTGACAGTCATCGCCTTGGCTTGTGTTCTGCTCCCGCTGTTGGCCATTCGCCTGTTGAGGAAGAGCGACAAACAGCATATGAAAATCAAAGGAAATTAAATTACTGAATTAGTAATTAATATTGCTATATTAACAAATCAAATGCAATTAACATTTATTAACATTAATCAATTTAAGTATGCACTTTAATTGTTTAATTTGTGCCTGTTTTAGGTGATAACATTTGCTTCCATATATTTCTAACACACTTGCAAAACTATTGACTCATCAGCCAAGGACAGATAATCACTTCTAATTTTGACTTAAGTAGTTTACTCAATAAACATCCAATTAATTACCAAAAATATATGTAATCTAATATCTGCCAACTGCCCATTGAAGATGAAATTCACTATAGATTTCCGACTGATTTATTTATATTAAGCCGGACAGTACACATACATACATACTTGTGATTTTCCCAAGTTGATAAGTTGGCTCAACTTACACATTATATATGTATATAAGATAGTGCCGATGCGAGTGGTTCCTCAGTCGATTGGGAATCGCGAAGCGAGTCGGTCACTCGATAACCGTAGTAGTGTGAGCTGAACATGGTGCGTGCATCAACAATAATCAAGTTCAATTAAGGTTTCAAATAAATTGAATTAAAATGCAAACTACAAATAATATCAAAGTGACAAAGACAAACAACAGCTAGAGACTTAAAATTTGGAATATTGGTTCTCGTATACCCGACGCACATCAAGTTTACTTTATTTTATCGATAACTGCCTCGATACATTTCGAATTCCGTTAGCAATAAATACTATTATGCTTTTAAAGGCCTCAGTTTATCTTATTCTGTCGTATGCACTTGCATTTGCTTACCTGCTCACATTTGGGTGAAAAACTTTAAAAGGGATATTTGCCAATAAAACTACTGGGTCCAGTGTATATCATAGTCGAGCCCACTCGACTACAGTATTCTTACTTGTTTCATTTTAAACGTTTGCGCTTAAAATGTTTGCAAACGTTTAAAATGAAACAAGTAAGAATACTGTAGTCGAGTGGGCTCGACTATGATATACACTGGACCCAGTAGTCGTAAACGTTTGCGCTTAAAATGTTTGCAAACGTTTAAAATGATGTTCAACAAATGAAGTTTATAAATAGAAGAACAGACATGCTTACTTATATGTTTACTGATTAGAATCACTATCTATAATTTGAATTATTTGATTAAGACGTGCGCTGTAATGTATATATATATATATATATATCTTATATACAGAGCACGTCTTAATCAATTAATTCAAATTATAGATAATGATTCTAATCACGCAAGCGATACAACGAGCAATTCAAGCAAGCAGTCTAGCCGATAGATAAGAAAAGTGTTTACAAATATTTAAGCAATTGGTAACAAGTGAGCAACTATTTATACACGCATAGATTTCTCGTGGCATAGATCACGTATTTCACAATATTACTATTTTAATTATCTTATCAATTTGACCCACAGCAACCGAAGAATGTTTTAAAATTCCTGTTGCTGGGCTTTGTGGCGCTTCAGCACTTTGAGATTGGAGCTGGATCCCGAATACTGGCTGCATTTTTCTTTCCCGGCAAAAGTCATTTCATGATGACAAATGCCATTATAAGGGAGTTGGTGCAGCGAGGACATGAGGTGACCTTCATCACACCATTCACATTGGCCAATGAGAATCTGGGTTCAAACTATACCGAGGTGCTATTGCCCCAATTCAATATTTGGCGCACAAGTAAGTAACGCAATATCCAGAGGCTTTATAAACAACTTAAGAGTTATAATACATAAATAGTTCTGGAAATGTCCAAGGGAAAGTCAGTGCTGGACATGACGGATATGGACACGTTGACCTTCATTAAGATGGCCATGGTCATGGGCTCGGAGACCACGAACTTTGCATTCGAACAGAAGGAAGTGTTGAATTTAATTAATGCCAAGGACAAGGTTGGCAAATTTGATTTACTATTGGCTGAGCAATTCTTCAATGAGGGTGCCCTCCTGCTTGGACATCTCTATCAAATTCCAATCATTACCATGTCTACCTTTGGCTTTGCCAATTATTTGAGTCCCCTGGTGGGCATTGTCACGCCCTGGTCATACGTCTCCCACGGATGGAAGCCCTATTCAGATCGTATGTCCCTCTCGGAACGCATTGACAATGTTTACTCCTCATTGATGGAAGATATAATTCGCCAGTTCTGGTATTATCCAGCACAGAATGAGATTCTGCAGAGACACTTCTCCAAGCAGTTCAAGGATTTGCCAACTATCAAGCAACTAGAGAGCAATATATCTGTCATTTTGCTAAATGCACATATGCCATTGGAGCCACCTAGGCCTCTTTCATTCAATATGATCCCCGTGGGAGGACTTCATATAAAGCCAGCTCAACCATTGCCCACTGAAATGCAAAAGTTCTTGGATGAAGCTGAGCATGGAGCCATCTACTTTAGTCTGGGTAAGTTTCAACTATAATTTTCTAATCTCGGCCTTGTTTAACAAGTTTCCCCATAGGATCACAAGTGAAAAGTGCTGATTTGCCACCTGAGAAGCTGAAGATATTCCTCGATGTTTTCAGAAGCTTGAAACAGCGCATCCTGTGGAAATTTGAAGATGACAAATTGCCGAATAAGCCAGCTAATGTGATGGTGCAGAAGTGGATGCCTCAAAGTGATATTCTGGCCCATCCCAATGTCAAGGTTTTCATCTCCCATGGAGGACTTTTCGGTACTCAGGAAGCAGTATATCATGGCGTTCCAGTTCTTGGAATGCCTGTCTATGCCGATCAGTATCTTAACATAAATAAGGGCAAGGTTGCTGGATATGCCCTTGGTGTGGATTACCGAACAGTTACAGAGGAGGAGCTGCGCTATTCCCTCACTGAACTGTTGGAGAATCCCAAGTACAGGGATACAATGAGGCGTGCCTCTCGCATCTTCCGGGATCGACCACTAAGTGCGATGGATACGGCTATGTTCTGGATCGATTATGTTATTGAGCATCGTGGAGCACCGCATATGGTATCGGAGGGTATTAATCTACCCTGGTATAAATTCTATCTACTGGATATCATTGGAATCGCCTTGGCCATTGTGCTTTTGCCTATTCTCGGACTGTTCCTCATTTGTCGCAGTTTTAAATCAAATAAGAAGCAAAAACCAAAGTCCAAACGACACTAGTAAAGTTTCCATTTGTAGTTAATAGCACATGGTTCTTTTTAAATTCGAAAGATTTCTCCCATCATTTTAATTAGTTTGAATATTGTGAAATAGGTTTTTAAATAGTGGAACATTTATTGAAGTAAGTTTCCATTGACATCGTAATCTTTTCACAGCACGCTTATAAATTTGATAAGCTGCTAGCTGAAATGCTTGCTGGATTCTCAGTCGTCTCTGAATCTCCGATTGAATCGGTTGTTCGATTTGCGAAGTGCGCGAAGAGAATCGAAAATGGTGTGTTTACGAATTAATTAAACTAAACGAATTAATTAAACTAAATTGAATGTACAGTAACACGCTCTCAGCCACTTATCAGTGAAGCGAATAAAAATTGTTGACTAATGCTGAAATTTCAATTAGCAAGAGCAAACTTAATTGGAGTGTTTTTGTAACAAATCTCTTTTAGAGATCTTTGAGTAATTCTCTTTAATAAGAAAACAATGGCTTTTCCAGCGCCAACACTTTAAATTACATAAAAATCAAATATTATGTAAAATTATTTCTAACATATCAGTAAATATCAGCAACACCTCTAATCTAATTAAAGCAATAGATATTTATAGTAGCACTTAACACTCAACGGATAATAACTGTACATAATAAAAATAAATATATTAAAGACATTAAACATTTAAGCAGTTGGCACTGAAATGGAAAATATTAATATAGTCAATGAAAAGATGTGAACTACACAGCAGAGTTTGACTTTTAGTTACCTAGATTAAGTGAACTGCTTTATTGATATTATTAACTTGACCCACAGCAACCGAAGAGTGCTTTAAAATGCCTGTTGCTGGGCCTTGTGGCGCTTCAGCACTTTGAGATTGGAGCTGGATCTCGAATACTGGCTGCATTTTTCTTTCCCGGCAGGAGTCATTTCATGATGACAAATGCCATTATAAGGGAGTTGGTGCAGCGAGGACATGAGGTGACCTTCATCACACCATTCACATTGGCCAATGAGAATCTGGGATCAAATTATACTGAGGTTCTAATTCCGCAATACAACTTTTGGCCAACTGGTAAGTGCGCAAAATAGCTAAAACATTCATCATTCATCATATTAATGAATAATACATTGTGCAGTTTTGGAGACGACCAAGATCAACACGGTGGTGGAACTTACCAATGTTCCCACGCTAAAGCTCCTGAAATTGTTTTATATTATGGGCTTAGAGAGCACGAACTTTGCTTTCGAGCAGCAGGAAGTGTTGAAGCTAATTCATGCCAAGGATAAAGATGACAAATACGATTTACTGTTAGTGGAGCAGTTCTTCAATGAGGGCGCCCTCTTTCTGGGCCATTTGTACCAAATACCTGTGATAGACATATTCACCTTCACTTTTGCCAACTATATGAGTTCCTTGGTGGGCGTAGTGACTCCTTGGTCTTATGTGGCACACGGATGGAAACCATACACAGATCGGATGTCGCTTTTGGAACGCATTGATAATGTTTACTGCTCGCTGACTGAAGAGCTTATGCGCCAATTCTGGTACTATCCTGCCCAGGATGAACTTCTGAACAGACACTTTTCCAAGCACTTCGATAAGTTGCCCACTATCAAGCAACTAGAGCGCAACATATCTGTCATTTTGCTGAATACATATATGCCTCTGGAGGCTCCTAGGCCTCTTTCATTCAATATGATCCCCGTGGGAGGACTTCATATAAAGCCAGCTCAACCATTGCCCACTGAAATGCAAAAGTTCTTGGATGAAGCTGAGCATGGAGCCGTCTACTTTAGTCTGGGTAAGTTTCAACCATAGTTTTCTAATCTTGGCCTTGTTTAACAAGTTTCCCCATAGGATCACAAGTGAAAAGTTCTGAATTTCCCCCTGAGAAGCTGAAGATATTCCTCGATGTTTTCAGAAGCTTGAAACAGCGCATCCTGTGGAAATTTGAAGATGACAAATTGCCGAATAAGCCAGCTAATGTGATGGTGCAGAAGTGGATGCCTCAAAGTGATATTCTGGCCCATCCCAATGTCAAGGTTTTCATCTCCCATGGAGGACTTTTCGGTACTCAGGAAGCAGTATATCATGGCGTTCCAGTTCTTGGAATGCCTGTCTATGCCGATCAGTATCTTAACATAAATAAGGGCAAGGTTGCTGGATATGCCCTTGGTGTGGATTACCGAACAGTTACAGAGGAGGAGCTGCGCTATTCCCTCACTGAACTGTTGGAGAATCCCAAGTACAGGGATACAATGAGGCGTACCTCTCGCATCTTCCGGGATCGACCACTAAGTGCGATGGATACGGCTATGTTCTGGATCGATTATGTTATTGAGCATCGTGGAGCACCGCATATGGTATCGGAGGGTATTAATCTACCCTGGTATAAATTCTATCTGCTGGATATCATTGGAATTGCCTTGGTTATTATTATTATGCCCATTTTGGGACTTTTGCTGATATGTCGCAGATTTCAAAATGCCAAGAAGTCAAAAACAAAGTCTAAACGGAATTAGATATAAGTTTAATTTGAATTTGATTGGCTCAAAGCCTTTTATTTAAAATCAAGAGTGTGCTCTTAATAAAGAATTAATTAATTTCAATACAATTAAAATCTTTTTTAAGTCCCTAAAACAATTTAACTGTATATATAATTTTACAAATGACACTATCTCAATTCGCTGCAAATAATTGAAACATGTAACGAACACGTTGAAGTGTGCAGCATACTGGAGGCGTACTCTGCCTACAGGGTCGACAGTGCTCAGGGAAAATGGGTCAGCTGCCAGAGTGCTAAAGAAACGGAAAAAAAACAACCAGACAGAATAGCTAACAAATCCACTAATAATATATTAAGATCGAAGAACAGAGATGTTGATGTTCTTCTTCTTTTACCCGTCCAACCTGTAGTATTCGGTCTCTTTACCATATTAAAGATGCAAAACCATATTTAGCTCAGGAGGAACTATTTTAATCCATAATGGATTCCTTATATACTTCAATTATGGTTTTAGTTCCATTATTTTTAACATTAATTTTAGGAGTTTTACTTAATTACTAGTTTTCAAGTTTCATGTTTGGGAGGGATTCATTCAATTTCGCTTTCTTCAATTTGGATCGAATAATATTCCATAATAAAGTTATCCTACAAAGGCCCTTGGCTGTATATATATATATATATGTATGTAATTTGAGTTAACTAAATCAGACAGGTATTTACATATATCTTTTTATGCCACATCTGTTATATGGTCACTATTAGTTGGTTATTTTCTTCATAGCTCACAATCTCTGAGTGCGGTTACGCCGTACTTACAGCACCAAAACAGCTGTGTTAGTAGTTCATCATAGTCGACAGGCCTGAAGACGGATGACGTTGCTGTGTGAAGTTCAAAGCGGATTAGACAATATAACAACTGATATCACATATACATACCATGCCAAGTTTAGTTAATGCATTATAAAATTAAATATTAATTCCTCACAAATTCATTCTACGTTCATTTAAAATAAAGTTTAATTTAAGTTGTGTAGCCCTGTAGAGTTCAGTCCTAAATAATCGAAGTTTAGCAGTGTGGTCACTATTTCTTCAGGATGATTCGGTCAACCGCCGCTCACATATGATCCGATACTTGCACCAGCTGGCGCACTTTATACCAATCAGATGTTAGATTTGCGTCCGAGACTTCGGTACCGCTGCACGTCAGCACCCAACAGATTAACAGCAAGTAAATTGTCAACGGCAGCAAGACGCTGGTCGCGCTCGAACTGGCCAACTATGCAGCTTCAAGTACAGAAAGGGCACTGGCACACTGTAAGTGATCACAGTTTGAAGCCGCCCTGGCACAATTTGCTTATGGTAACCGCCACGTTTCGGGAAGACGCCTATACTCGTACACCAAAAAATCTTTTAAATAATATCCTACGCCGATTTTTATGATATATTTACACAATTTCCATCCAATATTGGTGGGGACGCACTTTTCACCGTTTTTATTATCGGTTTCTTTCAATTAATATCAATAAAACGAGCTTGAATATGACGATGCCGCCAGGTTCTTTTTCAAGAAGAATATTGTTGCACACGTCGTCAATTGCAGAAAGGAAATGCATTGGCCGGAACTAGCTGTATGGGCGTCGCTACTAATTAGGTCACCGATTAGAGTTGCTAATTAGGTCACAAAGGGCTGCGAATGCTTACAGGCTGATCGTTGTTACAGTCGCGTCCCAAAAAGCGTTAACAGTGCGAATTTTTCTCTTTTTTTTTTTTTTGTTTATATTAATGTGCATATAGATACACCACTACAAGCATTTAGTATTAAAGGATGATATCCCATCTTCTAGGCGAAATACAAATACACTTTCTCCTCCTCGTACACGGATTCGAGATGCTAATCGTCTTGCCAGACTCAAACTAGATCGAGTAGGTGTACTGCGGGACTCTATCTCAAATGGTATCAGTTCTATCTGCTCGTGGAGATTGCGTTTGTGACAGTCATTACTGCTGTCTACCCGTCTCTTTAGAAAAAGCGACAAGCATCACATGAAAGTCAACGGGCAATAAATTATTAGATCAGATTAGCAAATGTATTAATTAAATCTATACAAGTACGTAATTCATTTGTTTAAATCTGAATCTGTTCTAGGTGATAACATTTGCACATTTTCAAAAATGACGAGTCATCGATCAAGCACGGCAACACAATACAAATGTTATGTTAAGTAGAGTACTCAACCACTAAATACCCTATGCAAATTGTTGTTTTGACAAATATCAATCAAAACTCTTTTAATTCGTTTTTAAAGCAAACTGATCTACTCGGAAATGATCAGTAAAATTTATGCTCAAGTGAATACTTAATGTTATATCTGACGAATACATATTGAATATGCAAATGCAATGAATATGCATGTCTGCTTGAAATATTTTTATACTTTACCAGGAAATCGATAAAACCGACATTCGCAAATCGATAAAGCCAGATATGTCCCCAAATTTTGTTAGTAGGTTGTTGGCGATGTCCGTCCCACCTTCCACAATTTGTAAGCAGAGTCACCAAATCTTAAATGTATCTTACTGGTAACTCTCCTAAGAGATCGATAAGAAATTGGATGGCCAGGCCCACTTCGCCTCCCTGAACCGATACACTTGTTAGTGTAAATCAATAAGACCATATATCTCACACAATTTGAAAGGTAGGGTCACAAAATCTGAAAGGTATATTGCTAGTAACATCATTCAAAAATCCGGAAAAAATTTGGACTACGCCCACCCCCACCACCAAAAATGATAAAGGCCTATATCTCCCGCAATTTAAGAGCTACAGTTACCAAACATGGAAGGAAGATTATTCGAAACCTTCCCTAATAATTTGTTCGTCCAATCACACTCCCGCCCATCAATTTAAGAGCTACAATTACAAAACTTCGAAGGAACGTTACTAGTATCTATCGCAATTTGAAAGGCAAACTTGGACAGTATTTCTTGGCTACACCCACCATGTTATTTGTTACTTGTTATCTGCTTGAATGACTTATGGTATCAAAGTATTTCGCAGTCTGTTACACCCGACTGCAACGTTCTCTCTTGTTTTTCATTTCATCTAAGTAAGTCTATATTAATTATAAGCCAACCCTGTTACTCAACCTCTTTAATGTCGGTAGAATATACTTACATAAAGAAAACATGCTTGTGAATTTCATAATGGGATCGTTGCTTATAAGTTGTGTCAACTTACATATTAAGTATATATAAGGTAGTGCCGATGTCGGTAGTTCCACAGTCGATTGCTAATCGCGAATCAAATCGGTTCCTCGAGAAGGGATATAGTCTAAGCTGAATATGGTTCGTACATCCATTTTAATCAAACCGAATAAATGTGTAAAATAAACCGAATTAAAATATATAATATAAAAATATATAGTGCAAATGTGTGTAACAGGCAGAAGAAAGCATCTCCGACCCCATAAAGTGTAAATATTCTTGCTCAGCATTAACAGCCGAGTCGATATAGCCACGTCCATGTGTCCGTCCTTCCATCTACCCGTCCGTCCATCCGCACGTCCGTCTGTCTGTATCAACACGTGTATCTCTAGGACTGTATGAGAGACTTCACATTTGGAGTATAGACTCTAATATATCCGGCGCAGAGTAAGTTTGCTTTATTTTATCGATAACTGTCTCGATGCATTTCGATTTCCTATAGCAATAAATGCCACGAATTTAAAGGCCTTAATTTATTTGACTCTGCCATCTCTGCCGGCTTTAAGAAATGAGTGCACATGCAGACCTGCTCACATTTGGGTGTAAGACTTTTTAACGCGATATTTGCCAATAAAACTAGAATTTAATTAACAACTGTGTCCAGGGCATATCGTAGTCGAGCTCACCCGACTTTAGTATTCTTACTTGTTTAATTTTAAACGTTTGCAAACATTTGGTGTTTATAAATAGAAGAACCTATATGTTTACCTATCTATATATATATACAAGCTAAATTACAGCGCACGTCTTAATCAAATAATTCAAATTATAGAGATAGATAAGAAAAGTGTTTACAAAATATTTAAACAATTGGTAACAAGTGGGCAACTATTTATACACGCATAGATTTCTCGTGGCATAGATCAAGTATTTCACAATATTAATATTCCAATTATCTTATCAATTTGACCCACAGCAACCGAAGAATGTTTTAAAATTCCTGCTGCTGGGCCTTGTGGCGCTTCAGCACTTTGAGATTGGAGCTGGATCCCGAATACTGGCTGCATTTTTCTTTCCCGGCAAAAGTCATTTCATGATGACAAATGCCATTATAAGGGAGTTGGTGCAGCGAGGACATGAGGTGACCTTCATCACACCATTCACATTGGCCAATGAGAATCTGGGTTCAAACTATACCGAGGTGCTATTGCCCCAATTCAATATTTGGCGCTCAAGTAAGTAACGGAATATCCAGAGGCTTTATCAACAACTTAAGAGTTATAACACATAAATAGTTCTGGAAATGTGGAAGGTAAAGTCAGTGCTGGACATGAGGGATATAGACACGTTGACCTTCATTAAGATGGTCATGGTCATGGGCTCGGAGACCACGAACTTTGCATTCGAACAGAAGGAAGTGTTGAATTTAATCAATGCCAAGAACAAGGTTGGCAAATTTGATTTACTATTGGCTGAGCAATTCTTCAATGAGGGTGCCCTCCTGCTTGGACATCTCTATCAAATACCAATCATTACCATTTTTACCTTTGGCTTTGCCAATTATTTGAGTCCCCTGGTGGGCATTGTCACGCCCTGGTCATACGTCTCCCACGGATGGAAGCCCTATTCAGATCGTATGTCCCTCTCGGAACGCATTGACAATGTTTACTGCTCAGTGATGGAAGATATAATTCGCCAGTTCTGGTATTATCCAGAACAGAATGAGATTCTGCAGAGACACTTCTCCAAGCAGTTCAAGGATTTGCCAACTATCAAGCAACTAGAGAGCAATATATCTGTCATTTTGCTAAATGCACATATGCCATTGGAGCCACCTAGGCCTCTTTCATTCAATATGATCCCCGTGGGAGGACTTCATATAAAGCCAGCTCAACCATTGCCCACTGAAATGCAAAAGTTCTTGGATGAAGCTGAGCATGGAGCCGTCTACTTTAGTCTGGGTAAGTTTCAACCATAGTTTTCTAATCTTGGCCTTGTTTAACAAGTTTCCCCATAGGATCACAAGTGAAAAGTTCGGAATTTCCCCCTGAGAAGCTGAAGATATTCCTCGATGTTTTCAGAAGCTTGAAACAGCGCATCCTGTGGAAATTTGAAGATGACAAATTGCCGAATAAGCCAGCTAATGTGATGGTGCAGAAGTGGATGCCTCAAAGTGATATTCTGGCCCATCCCAATGTCAAGGTTTTCATCTCCCATGGAGGACTTTTCGGTACTCAGGAAGCAGTATATCATGGCGTTCCAGTTCTTGGAATGCCTGTCTATGCCGATCAGTATCTTAACATAAATAAGGGCAAGGTTGCTGGATATGCCCTTGGTGTGGATTACCGAACAGTTACAGAGGAGGAGCTGCGCTATTCCCTCACTGAACTGTTGGAGAATCCCAAGTACAGGGATACAATGAGGCGTGCCTCTCGCATCTTCAGGGATCGACCACTAAGTGCGATGGATACGGCTATGTTCTGGATCGATTATGTTATTGAGCATCGTGGAGCACCGCATATAGTATCGGAAGGTATTAATCTGCCCTGGTATAAATTTTATCTACTGGATATCATTGGAATTGCCTTGGCTATTATTCTTATGCCCATATTGGGACTTTTGCTGATATGTCGCAGATTTCAAAATGCCAAGAAGTCAAAAACAAAGGGTAAACGTAATTAGATATTAATTTACTTTAAATTTCGTTAACTCAAAACATTTTATTGATAAACAAAAGTGGGCTATTAATATAGTGTTAATTAATTTGAATACAATTATAGTTTTTTTTAATTTTTAATACAATTTTCAGTGTTGTGTAAACATTTTACAAATGATATTTTCTCAATTCGCTTCAGGGCAACAAATAGCTGCCAAAATAATTTAGAACAAAGCTTACAAGAAGCGTACAAACACCAGCGGCAGCTATTTGAACTGGGCGCTGAAATACACAGTATTAGGGGTACTCATGATATCCAATCTTCTAGGCCAAATACAAAAGCTAGCGTGTGTCAGAGTGTGTGTGTGAGAGTGTATGTTCTTTATTTGTGTGAGTGTGTGTGTGTGTGTTGGTTGTGCCGAGAGCTCTTTACTGGCTTATGACCATGGTCTTCTTTACCTTCTTCTCCTTCTTCTCATGGGTGATGGTCACTTCTTCTGCGCAAAGGATATAACAATTGTGTTAGGTTCAGATAGGGAATTGGAGATATATTTTATAGATTACCTTCGAACTTGTGGGGCAACTGCTTGACAGTCTCAATGGTCTTGACGGTCTTCTCCCCGGGCTCGATAATCTCCTCCTCGTACTCCTCGATAATCTCCTCCTCGTCGGTATCATCGGGATTCGAGCTGGGCACAGGGTCGAAAACAGTCTTCACTGCCTTCTTCACAATACCCTCGGAGGTCACTGTGGTATAGTGGTATTCGGTGCCTCCCTCGATCTTGATGGTCTCAACAGTGGTAACATCACCGGGATTCTCGGATGGGACGATCTTCTTGGTGCCAGACTCAGACTTGAGCTTCTTGGTGCTGGTCACGTTCTTGTGCTTCTCCGCGTCCTTCAGTGTCTTCTTATACTGCTTGATCTCCTCCTCGGTCAGCTCCACTTCCTCCTCCTCGTAGACGGTCTTCGAGGTGGTAATCGTCTTGCCCGACTCCAATTGCGTCGAGTAAGTGTATTCATTGCCACCGGGCACACGCTTTGCTGACACAGTGGTGGTGTCGTTTTGGACAAAGTCCGCTGGTGGAGGAGGTGCCGATGACTTTGGCTTCTTCTTCTTCTTGCCGCCATCGGTGATGCTCTGAGTCTTCGAGCTCTGCTCCTGGAGTGAATTCTTGCGCACAGTACGATTATTCTCGGTGATCTCAATGTTCTGCCTAACGCTACGCGTCTCCTCGACGGTGGTGTCCTCGCGATAGTTGGACTGCTTATCGTTAACATTCTGGATGACGTTCTTCTGCACCTTCTGGACCATGCGACGCGAGGTTGACTCCGTGGAGTCAGTGGAGTCCACCGATGACTTGCGCGTCACATTCTTCTTGATCTTGTTGACAGCGGTGTTGGTGTTCTCATTGATTTCCGTTGGCACCGAATCGAAGAAGGTCTTGGTGCGCATGCTGCGCGTACCATCGTCATTGATGGTGGTGTAGACCTCCTCGTAGCCACCCTCGATGGCTCGGGTCAGCATGGTGGTCTTCGAATCGATGCGTATCTCCTTGCCCAGACGCTGCTTGATGATCTTCTTGTTCGCCTGCTCCTTGGCCATATCAGCCTCGCTGACGGGCTTTGGATCCCAGAAAGTTTTCACCTGAGTCTTGACCGTACCATTCGGTTGGGGCGACGTGATGATCATCTCGTAGCCACCCTCGATCAGCTTGTACTTGGTGCTCGCACCGGTCGCCTTATCGAACTCAACTTTGCCATCCTCAATGTCAGCGGAAGTCAGGAGCTCTTCAGGGAAGAAGTGGCACATGGAGTTTTGGTTTTGTGTAATTGTGTTTTGTTTAAATTGTGTATAAGTAAATTCGTTGTCGAGACCAGATCTCTCTCTCTCTACGTGTGTGAGTGTGTGTTTTTTTTCAGCAAGCACTTTAATTTATATTAAAAATTCCTAGACTAAGATATTGCAAATTAGTTTCATCTAAGGCGCATTTTGGTAAATAATTTACATAAACCCTTTGAAGCAATTTTTTACAGCATTTTGTACTTTTTTCTTAGTATTAAATTGTGTTGGTATTGTTGTAGTTGGATTTGTACTTAGGCTTAGACATGCACGGGTTCCGGCTCGGATTCGTTGTCCAGTTGCAGGGTCAGTCGGAGCAGGGTTGGCCTCATCTTTGCTGACCTGGTCGCCAGTTGCGGCAGGCAGCTGTAGTGCAACAGCAGCTGCAGTAATTGTTATTTAAATTTACGCGACGCCTTCTGGCGGCTCGGCTTTGTGGGCGTGGCATTCGGTTGCAGGATATGTTGCGGTTGCGTCGATTGTGCCGACTGCGTTGACATTGGCGGCACCCGTTGTGATTTCGTTGTGGTTGCTGCGGCTATTGTCGTCGGTTGCTGCTCAGCAGCATTGCCAGCGACGATTTTCTGTGCATTAGTTGGAAGTTTGTTAATTGCATCGGCTGCTGCGGGGCTGTCCTTAACCTCCGCTACGCCAGATGCCTGGTTAGTGGCAAGGCTTGAACTGGAGCTTGTGCTTGGATTGGAAGTGCGTGCCGACCGGGAGGACGCTGCGGCTGTTAGTTGCGGTTTTGCTTCATGGTTCAGCTTGATAGCGGTTTTAGTTAGCAATTGGTTATAGCCTATTGTATTATCGTTATCTGCAAAATGCGGTTAGGGTAGTTGGTTTTTAGCTGGCATGTCAATTGCTTAGCATCAAATGAGTGCTGATTGATGCCACAAGTTGCTGATTGATGATTGATGATTGACGATGATTGAATTCCAGAAAATTGATATTTAATGCTAATTGAAAATGAAGCCAGGTGATAAATTCGTGATTTCAATTAATGATTGAAGCTAATTGTGTGAAAAAGACCCCCATTGGCGAAACTTATCCAAAAATTGAGATGACTTGGGTCTTATGTGACGTTTTTGAGAACTTAAAATTAAACAACTGAAAACAATAGAAAAGTTATGGTTCAAACTCACAATAATAAATAATAAATTGAAGTACAACATACGCAAGTCTTACACTAGAATAAAAATGCACATTTTAAACAATTTGTGGATAAACGAAGAGTTTTGTTTTGTGTTGTGTTCTTGAATAAATATTTTGTAGACAATATTTCAATGTAAATTACAACATAAAGGTATAAGAAAGAATCTTGCTGTGAAAAATGTTGACGTTCAACTCGTTTTGTTGGGAAATTTACACACACATAACACAAACACACGCACGCAACATTTTCAAGTTATTTTTTTTTATAAATATATTTATGTATTTGTTTTTTTTTTTTATTATTATTATTATTATCATTATTTCAATATTCTTTATACACACATTTTTCATTAGGGGAAAAAAAAGAAAATAATATTATGGATGAGGGGTGTTTAGGAGTTGAGTTTGGGGTCTTATGCAGATGAGCTGAAAAGTGAATGCCACAAATCAGTTAAGACTCAAGTGGGCAAAAAGTACAACAATTTTCAATTAAAATATAATGAAATTTGAAAGTTTTGTGGCTGAGCCAAGTGGTTGTGCCAAGTGTTGTATGAGTGTGAGTGTATAAAATTGAAAGCAAAATGCCAAGTGTGTCGTATGCACATGCACACACACACACACACACTTACTGACAACCACACATGTGTGTGGCAGAGCAGCGAGGTCGACGAGTGTAAAAAGTTTAATTTGAAAACTTAATTAAAATTTCTGCGCGTGTATATATACACAAATATATATATCTAATTTCTTTTGCATTTCATGATATGAGCCACTGCTGCTAACAAGGCCACTGCATGTGTGTGTGTGTGTGTGTGTATGTGTGTGGCAGTGGGTGTGCCTGTGTACAAGTGTGCAGCAATTAAATATGACACTTGACAACACTTGGATATAATTTTGTATTTCAACCGGCTAAAGTGTCAAAGTCTGTGCACAGGTGTGTGCCTGAGTGTGTGTGTGTGTGTGTGCTTGTGTGTTTGTGTGTTGTGCTAGTGTGTTTAAGGGGTTTAGGGGATTGGTCAATGGGCACAGCAAAACGATGAACGATTTGTTCTTCTGTTCACTACATATAGTATTTTGTATCTATGAACTACCAGTTTGGTCAGCCTCCGTCGGCTTCTCGGGCTTCGCTTCCAGCGTCTTCGTGATCTTCTTCCAGATGTTGTCGAACGCATCGGCGCCCGAATAGTCAACCTGTCCCGATTCCCAACACTGGCGACGCATCAGATTCTCGTACTGCTCCTGTTCGGGGGTGCGCTCTACGCCAATGCGTAGCTGCGACAATGCGCCAGCGAGACCAGCCTGAAAGTAGGCAACACAAGTGTTAAAAAAGTGCCATAAATGATAGCCAGCAATAAAAACATTAAAACAGTGCTACGAATATTTACAGTCAACATATTGATTAGCCTTGTTTGCTCCATTTACAGCCAAGTTTCTTCTTCAGAAGTTTGTAAATAACTTAACTGCATGTTGAGAAAACAAGCTTAATGGGTACAACAGTTAAGTATACAGGTGCATGCTAATTACAATAATTACATTAATTAGTATTTATAGTTCATACATTTTAGCGACATTCAAATGTTAGTTGAGTTCTATGGTTAATGTGACACAATACAAAATTGCTAGTCAAATGTTGCTGCAAACTGCTGGCTGGCAACAGACAGACAAATATAACCGCATGTCCGCATAGAAAACCCCTCTGGCTGTTTACCATAAAGATGAAGTGTGCTCTGTGTGTGTGTGTGTGTGTATGTGTATGAAGAGATGTGTTTGAGTGTAATGAATGATTTTTAAATGCAAATGCAATTGCAATTGCAACTGCCAAGGAGCAGCTAATGACAAACACAGACAACCTGAAATGGGTGTAATAATGCTAAATGCCTGCAACACTATCAATAGATCATTAAATGCACGTAAATCAGGCAGGCAGGCAGCAGCAGCTGCAACGATAGCAAATGCAGTAGCAGCAACAGCAACAACAGCAGCAGCATCAGCCGCAGCAATGACAACTGACAAAGCAGGAAGTGAAAACATAATGTTGATAATGCTAATGAGCACAAAAGTGGACAATGATAATACCGTGTGATAATAGACATGCAAATGGACAAAGAGTGTGCCAACTAAACTAGACACCAGATAGACAGACGCAGGACAAGAAACGAGCTACGAAGGACAACAAACTAGAGACGCAGGACGAGAAACACGACGCGACATTGTGCAGGAGTTGTGTATGAAAGACGAGAGACAGAGAGAGAGAGAGAAAGACAGATATGACACAATGTGACCAAACCAATGAGCGTGACATTAAACCAGATTATCAGTGGGTGGTGGAGCAGTGGAGGGGGTTGGGGTGTGGTGTGGTTGTGGTTGTGGATTTTGAATTGTGGTGCATATTGAGATTCGCCCGCGTATCATTCGTATTTGGTTTTTACCTCAGCAGCAACGGCAACATCTTCAATTTGAGGTTGATGACTTAAAGTGGCTTGTGTCGCATTCTGTTCGATTGTACTATGCACTGGGTGGTGCTCGTGATGTTGGTGGTGGTGGTGGTTTTGATGGTGATGTTGTTGTTCTGGTTGGTGTTCTTGGTGGGTGGGTGATTGCTCAGTTTCGCATGTGTTGCTATTTACATCTATTGCTTTGGGTTCTTCATTGGCAGTGGTTGGTTTATGTGCTGGTGGTGGTTGTTCTTGTTGTTCTTGTGGCTGTAATGATGATGTGGGTCTGCATGCTTCACTGTGGCTCCATCTTCTCCTCTGAGCGTCAAGCACCTGCGTTTCACATGAGTTCTCAATCGCATTTTCATTGGGGGATTCGTAGACGGATTCGGATACGGATTCAGGTTGAGGTTCAGGTTCAGGTTCAGGCTGATTTTGATGTCGCTCCACTTGCTCATAGTAATCTGCCCAAGGATCTCGATATTCACGAACATGCGGCACATATTGCTGTCTTTGTTGTTCTTGTTGCCGATTGTAATAGCTGTCCGCATCGTAATTACTATCAGTGTTGCTCGGCGAATGCGTTATGTTTAAGCAAAGATACTGATTTTTCATATTTTTTTAGCGATAGTTTGCGGTTTGTTATTTGTGATAGTATTTTTTTATTTTTTTATTTTTGTGAACAGAAAGCGCAAAGCAAGAATTGAAAATCAAATAATAAATTTAAAAAAAAACTTAAAAGCATAAAATCATAAAACTAAAAGATACAAAAATAAAATGGAACAACGAACACATAAGGGGATGGGAACAACAACACTACAACTACAACTAACAAGTTTGAATGACCAATTTTCGGGTAAACTATTCGCTCAGTGTAGTAAGACTTGAAATCAATTTTGATATTATATATCGTTGACTTGGTTGCTTTGCCTAATTATTTTGAAGAAAAGAACGCCTCAGTAAATTGGCAATCTCAATTTGCATGCCATTTGGATCATTTCAATTTATTGACGTCGCTAACAAAACATTCCGTTGGCACCTGGCCAAATCGATGCCAATTCGAGGAACACAAAAAAACACAGACAGACACACACACAACACAACAGAATGCAACAACAACAAAATCACACACACACACAGACACACCATTGATAGACGTAGAAGAAGGAAAACAAAAAAAAAAATAAAGACTCCACTCTGCGAAATGTCTGACTGCGAAGCCGAAAGAGAAAAATGGAGGCCAATTGGGGATTGGGTAGAGCCAAAGTAAATTTTAAAATAAGACTAAACTGAAGAAATGCTGCTAAAAAGAAAACAAAAGTGCAACAGAAGAAAATAAACTAAAACGAGGGCGTCAAAGCTAAATAAATCGATGCAACAATTTCTCTTGTTATTTACAATTGGTGTTTCGAAATGAATATAATAAGCATCGCATAAATATCGTACAGACCGAATGTGTATACAATGTGCGCAAGTATGAATAATTGGATAAATATAGACAATATTTGGAGTGACCCTCGCCGTAACTACAGTGGTGCGTTCTATTTGTGCGCTGGTTCTGGATCAGCTTACCTCTGGTTGAACGCTAGCAATATCGGTATTATCCATCGTTTTATGCTTTGTTACCAAATAGCAATTGCACAGCAGCAAAATCGGGGTTAAGATTCAGACAGATTTTGGTTAGGTTTTTTAGTTGTTGATTTGTTTTTATTTTTTTTTTTATTATTTTGTTGGACGTATCAGAAACGAAACGAAACTCTCAAGAAAATACAACTTGAAAACTGAAAATTGTGTGTGAGTTGAAAGGCGGTTTTATAAAGATCACTTACCATATTGTCGCTGAGAGACTCATGCACACTGTCACAGAAGATGGTCCACCAGTGCTGGATGAGGTCCTGTGCATGTGCGTAATCGGTGGGCGTGTCAGCGGTTTTTGTTGCCGTATTGAAGTGAATCAACCAAGGCTTCAGTTTGCCAGCAAAATGCAAAATCTTAATTTTATCTCTGAACCTAATGACATAGAAAAATGCATGCAAATTAATATTAGTATATAAAATGCAAAATGGTATGTTTTGACACGCTGGCAGCGCAGCCAGAGATCAATCTTAGAATACGTATTTGCACACATTGGCAATGTTGTTTACACTATCTGGTAACTCCAAATTTTTTTCATTATTTCTGCTTAAAATGAGTCTACTTCTAGCTAAGAACAAACAAAATTAAGAGAAGAAGTCAATGGCATGAAAATGGATTGCTCCGACAAATGATATGGGTTTTATGCAACTTAGTTTTAAGAATTCTGGGCTCTAAGATCCAAAACTAATAAATTAAAATAACAAGCATATGCATATATATACATATACATGTTTTATATATATTAATATGTATATAAATATGTGTATTAATATAAATAATATACAAATATGTACATTAATGACAAAGTTAAGATATGTATACATATACAGGCATTTAATACAGATTATATACATTCTTTTATTTCGTTCTTATTTGGCTAAATCTGTATTTTCTGTTGCATACACACAGCACCTTGTATCTTGTATCTGGCAAGGCACCTGGTGTCAAATGTTCGTCGCCAAAGTTGCCAGCGTGTGTAAACGCACATAAAGTCATAGTTGATACTCACTGTTTGAATGCGGGCAAGTAACAGTAGGAAGCATAGGCTGTCACGTTGTAGATGAAAGGCAAATGCTTCTTGATATCAGCGGTCGCCCAATCGGCAAAGTACTGATTCAGCAGACCCTGATCGCCGCCATCGAAGCTGCCATGCTGCACGGCAAACTCTGTGATCTTGTTAAAGGTGTCCACGCTGGGTGTGTAGACAAAGACGCCCGAGTTGAAGCAATCGGGCCAGCTGACATCTGGAGCAGCAGACAGTTCCTCACGCTCGAACAACTCATCGCAATTTTTCAGCACCTGTCAAAAGGAAAAGAAGTTGATCAATCTCTTATGGTTGGATAAACTGCATTTTTATGTATTTACCAGTGTGTCCGCATCGAGGAAGACACACTTCTCGAACTGGACGAGACGCCAGCAGTGGAGCTTTGTGAAGGTGACACCCAGTTCGGGGCGGGCGAGCAGCGCCAGATTGGCGGCATCATGTGAGTCCATCACATTTACCTCCTGTACAACATTGTACACCTCCTTCAGTCTGTCACGCATCGCCTCCGATACGGTGGGCGTCACCATCACTGCCAGCTGATGGGCGGTGCCGGCTCGCTTTAGCGAATTTGCCAGCACCAGGGCGCCCAGCGAGTACGTATCATTTGTGGTCAAAGTAACCCAAGCGAACTCTGCAGAATACATGCGAGAAACATCCAAAATGCATTAGTCAAAGAATATCTATATATCTATATATATATGTCTAAAAATATACATATACATTTTCAGTTAAGTGCTAGAAACATTCAAGTGAGCTACACATACACATAGAAATACACAAGTACAAGTACAGTTACAACAATGGAGCTTGGCCATAGCGACAAGCTTTTCATAATTTTCCATTTTCATTTTCCATTTTATTAATTTTTTTTTTATTATTAGTTTGGCATTTCGAAAATTCGCAGCGTGGCAGCGGGCAATTTATGAATTATAAATAAACGAGTAGCAGGAGTATATATATAGTTTATATATAAATATATATAGATACACGATCTACCAGCTGTATGTGTGTGTGTGAGTGTATGTGTGTATATATATGCGTTTTCGTTGAGCATCTGCGTCAACATCTTTAGTGGGCGGGGCATGCGGCAATCGCATGCAGCGTTTTTGGCAAAGTGTCGATTATTTGGGTTATATGCGCCCCATTTAGGCTATTTTGTTTGGTTTGCAAAAAAAGAAACAAAACTAAAAACGAAAGAAAATTTGCACAAAAAAAAGAAGAATTGTAAAACATTTATCAGGCGCATCTGCTTGGATAGCAAATAAAATTCTGCGTTGTTGGCATTTAGTTGCCTATATACACACTACATATATATATACACCATACAGAATCCATTTAGTTGGATATATGCATAGTATATATATTTATATATATATGTGCCGTAAACATCCAATATCAAAATAATATTTAATTTTTCGCACTATAAGCATTAGTGCTCGCCTTGAATAATTATGAGCTATGGCAAATAATATGGATTAGATATTTTAACATCCACTTTGATGTTCTTAAGAATTCCATTAACTTAGTATATAAAAATTTGCAATATTCGACTCAAGCCTAAGATGGCTTAAAATATACTTTTAATGGAGAAAACTGAGTGGAATTAGAAAAACAATAATTTACAATTTTCTGATTTACTTTTAACCAGTTGGTTTAACCAGAAAAAGTTTTTGTTTTAATCTTTTGGCTCTTTAGTTTTTTAACAAATATTATCTCGAAAGCAATAAATCAATTAAAATATAATATTTCATACATTTTTTAACAAAAATTGTTTTTAATAATTTGCTGAAATGTATGCTTTCATTTAAATATTCAATCAGCCCCAAATCAAAATTTTTAAAAAAAAATTTTAAAATAAATTTAATCTTAAATAAAATATATTACACATTATTTAAATATCGTATATATAAATAACCATGCATTTATTGTTGTAAAAAAGAAAAGTAGAACAGAAAATAATTAAAATAAAATTCATCATTAGAGTTATAATGGAAAATTAAAAATTTATTTTCAATTTGATTATAAACAAGTATGTGTTGGATAATAAGTGCTACGATCAAAGATTTTTTGTACATTTTGCTGCAACTAAATTTAGTTGTGTTAAATTCATGATTAGTTCATTTTGTTGGGTTTGTTTTTGGTTGTTTTTTTTCGGTTTAGCTAAATAATCTGTATGGTTTATTTAGCATTAGAAAGCGCACCGGATTGGTATTTGAGAAGCGTTTAGATGTAGAATACAACAAAAACAGAAGATGAATTTCAACAACAACAACTACCTTCTGTACTACGCATTCGTATACGGATGGAAACGGAGGCACTGCGAGTTAAACAGCAGCTGAATGCATTGGTGACAGCCAATGCCACCGTCCGGCAGGTGGCGCTCACATATACAAAATGTATTTGACGGATTTAATGAGTGTGTGTGGGTGCAAAATAATGCGACTTCGGGGTGTTGTTTTTCTTTTTGTTTGTCTTTTTTTATCTTTTCTTTAGATGTTATTTATTTGTTATATGTGCAATGAGCTGTTGTGCCTAAAATAAAAATGAAATCATTTACTTGGCGAAACTAGAATGGTTTTAAAAACTTTATGACTTACCGGATACGAAACAAAAAATCATGTGTCACAACAATATATAAAAAATCAAAAAGAATTTGAATAAAAAACAAGAAACGGCGTCATAAATTTCGATTTAGATTAAATAAACAACACTTGTGCGTCTATATTTAAAAGACAACTGTCGAAATTGTACAAATGTCAAGACGGCATCAACAGATTACATACGTATATGTGAATAAACGAACCGACAATATTCTTAAAATACTTATATCTACTTAACTAAATATTAAAAGCAAAAACTAATTTAGTCACTAGACTGACAACTGTTTGGCAGTTCAGGCAAATGAGCATGGAAAACCCCACTCGAAATACTGCGCAGTGTAACAAAAGCTCGCTCAGCCACTCGAGCTCAGCCAATCGAGTCACAGCTCAAGCAAAGCTCTCTTTGCAGCTGCATGCAGACTGAAGCCGAAAGCTCTATGCTCTTGCAACTCTCCCCTCAAACTCATCCACAATTTCTCTTTATCAGCTGTCGGTGGCGAAAGAAAGCTGATGATAAACTTGCAGCACAAAAAAATACCAAATGCCCGGAAAGCTGACAACAAAAACGGTAATTGCTCAATGAGGCGTAGCTTTTTTGATATGACCCTGTGGGTGCGTTTGGACTGAGCTGAATGAGAGAAGCTTATGAATGGAATGTTGTAGATAATTGCATTGGAAGGGCAATGAAATTGCGAGAGTTGGGCCACAAGCGGAAACCAGTTTCTGCACCGCTGCCAATGGCAAACAGTGAATGCCACATTAGTTGCAGCCGGCGTATGCAGGCGAATGGTGGCACTAAAAAGCAATGGACGACTGGCAACCGGCTGCCGGCAAAAATGCGCGATTGCAATGCCAACATCCAAAACGAGTTGCGGCAATCTGAAAAAGCGCATATGTATCTGGCAGACACATATATATATATATATATATATATATATATATATATATACAGTTGCGAAAAAAATAATAGCGCCACTCTCAGAAATGTTTTTTGGATTTGTAAGTTTATGAGATATATGAATACGTGTTTTAGAAGTGGAAGAAGAATCTTTAAATAAAAGTTGGAAAGAAAAAACCGTAAAAAATTTGAATTGTATCAAAAAAAAAGAAAATAAAATAATAATAGCACCATTTTTAAAATTTTCACTTATAATTATGAAAATTAGAAATAAACCATTTCTATGAAGTCCGTGGATGGCGTTTATTATTTTTTCGATTCTTTCTTACACTTTCCTCCAAATAAAAAAAAAATAATATTAGAATGATATATATTTATATGGAAAACAATTCCAGGGGCAATACTAACTAAAATATATATATATAAGTAATAAATTATAAATGAACATTTGCAAAAATTTCAATACCAATGGTTTGTGTCGTAGTGGCGCTATTAATATTTTCGCAACTGTATGTATATGTATCTGATGTATGTATATATGCGTAGTGTGTATCGCACTAAGGAACAGGCCACTAAAAATAGCCAGAAAATGTGAAATAAAATTGTAGCGCGACAAGAAAACGCTGCTGTTTTGGCTGCTTCGGCTGCTGTTGCATGCAGCGCACAGATACAGATTCAGATACATTTTTCGAAATTCAATCACAGATCGCAGCAAGGGAGCTGTTCGACTGGAGAAGCATCAGCCAACTTATTTTATGTGTCTCATGATTTATGCGGGCAGAAGGTACAGAAACACACACACAGATACAAAAGTATATACATGGATACTTATATTTATATATGTATATTGTATCTTTGTCATTTCCTTAGTTTACTGCCAAACATTCTGGGCGCATGTGGGCAGCAAGCAGCTGTGGAAAAGTTCTTTCTCGAAATTTGTGAAATACCCACTGAGTATTGTTAACGCCTGTCGTCGGCCATAATTTCTGTTTGCTATATATGTGCACGCGTATAAATGATGTCTAAAAATAGCAGATCATCTACAGATAAATATAAATATATATATTCTAAATGGTGAATAGAATATGAATATATATATATATATATATTTTTTTTTTGTTCAGTCGATTCATGCATTTCAAAAATGACGACGGGCTTGTAAAAATGCCAAGGCAAATACAGATTTAATGGCCAATGATGAATGATGATCGCCCCTATAATCTGGATTCGAATGCGGAAATTGTAATCAGGCTGAAGATAAGCGCTTGATTGCCTGGCGCTAACTAAGCGGGAGAGATGCTAGTTTCTCTGTGGGTCTATTAATAGGTCACCGCTTGCACTAATCAATGGCAAGTGTGACAACACTGTCAATAATACTGGCACTGACCTTCACCACGCGCTCTCTCGCTCAATATGCCGTTAACTTTTGCAAATACACACTTGAGCACAGAGTGAGAGAGAGAGAGTCAAAACCTTAAGCTCTTTGAGACTTTAAGCCTCACTCTCTCGCTGAAGCGCTCACGTAACTAGTGTGAACGTTATCAGTGTGTGTCCAAAGGCAAATTCGCGCATAATTTGTATAAACAAACAACTGACGTTGTTGAAAATGTGTATTTTTTTCGTATTGCTTTTTCTTATTCTTGTTCTTATTCTTTTACCAGTTATGTGCGCGAAATGCTCTGCATGCACACACACAGACGCACTCATACACACACGCATACACACACACACATGCACACAGAGACGCACAGGCAGGCAGCGGCTAGGCAAATGCTATTGAAGGTCAGTAAAGGTCGTCGCCGCAATTTTGCGAGCCCCCCTCTTAAAAATAAGGAAAATAAGTAAAAAAAAAAAAATAGTCAACAATAAAACAGGTACACATGAAACATTATCTACATGTTTACAATGTATGCGGCCCCCGTGCGTTATGAAACATGAGAATGCAATTTATTTGCGGCTTTTTTTTAAATATTAATTGCGATTAAAGAAAGAAAGAAAGAGAAGAGCTGCAGTCGCCTCAACTCAATAACGTGGACCAGCAGACATGCATAAGACGCACACACACTCACACACACACACTCACACAGATTCTCATTGATTTTATATTTTTTATTTTTTTTTTATCTGTGATAACTTCATTTTTTTGGCGTCTGTTGTTGTTGGATAAACTTACTGCTCATTTTGATTTTGAAATTTTTTGTTTTGTGTGTTAGTTAAAATAGTTGAATATACACTGCGAAAAACTCGCGGAGTGAGTCCTTCGCGGGGGATGATGTTCGGTGTTGATGGCGGTGGGTGGGGCGGGCCCGTTGAGCTTTCACACACACTGTAAAGTGACGAGAGCGAGTCGGTTGTCTGAATTGCTTTGCGGAGGGTTCTGCGTTTGGCTGTTCTGCCTACCACGAGCGACGACGAGAAACTGAACTGAACTAAGCGCTTTCGACGTGTCGAGTAAATGAAAAGTGCGCACGACGACGACGACGCTGGCGACGTCGATGCCGTATGCAAGATACGTACGTATTTACGTACGTGGGGGCTGCTGTTGGCGTCGCAGTCGACGTTGTCGCCGGGTGTCAGGCGGCAACCACAAAATGGTTACGGTAGACGAGGGCATCGGCAAGTCGACGAGGAAGGCGCCAAAAGTGAATTTTGCATATTATGCTCACTTGACTTTCATTTCTGTTTCTCCCATTTTCTTCTGTTTCGACTACGTTTGCCGGCAATCACTTTGCACCGGTGAGCGAGAGAACGAGAGAGAGAAAGAGATTGAGAGCATGATAAAGGTGCGAATACATGAATTGGCAAACCATACATTTTGATTAAAACCGCTCTCTCTCTCTCTATCTTTACTTATGAAGAGCGACAGCTTTTTAAGAGCGTGCTCCTCACGGGTAAAGGCAAACACTGCATACCAATTTATATGTGGACTTGTTGCATTTGTTAAGGTATTCAAAATAACGAATAAATAATTATAGCGAATGAATATTTATAGTTAATTTATCGATTGGTTTAATCAAACAATGTTATTATTTAGATAATATCCAACTGTTATCAATGCAACTGCAACTAATAATAAAAGACTTTTTCACTGTAATGATAACCTGCTCTATGCCAGACATGATTATTCATGTTCACACCAAATCTCTGTTCGCTATACACCCAAATAAAATAATGGGTTACAGAAAAAAGTACAACTTAGGTAAACACGAACAGAAGCCGATCAGATTAAGGCTACAATGGGTCGGAAATTTGCCACAGCGGCAGAAATTCTTACTTATGCATTTTAATTATTTATTTCTGACGCAAATTGACTGCATTGTTTTAGGCGGCACTGTGATGAAATATTCACGTCGCCTAAAAGTATGCCACGCAATTTTAACAGAAATTAATACACCAAAGTAGTCGAAAAAACATAAATAACAAATATATCACACGCCAAATAAATCAATATCGTCTTTGGTAACAATATTAACTCAAAAGCATCTTTAGCAATACTGCTACGTTATGGACAAATGCGAGAATTATCATTTTCTAAGAACCAAGCTTGAAATCCCATTTTATGAGTTCTTATCATATTAAGTATCAATAGACATATTTAAAAAAATTTTGGCAGTTGTTTATTAAAAACGTTTATCATCTTTGCATACAATTTATTGGAGGGTTTACTCGCTTACGGCTAAGTCACCTTTTCGATTTGCTCCAGTCGAAAGCAATATGTACAAACTATGACTATATTAGCAGAATTATTCTTTGCGGCCCAAATTATGTACTTGAGCAAGCCACTTTTTTTTTTGGTACTCGTACTTGTATATGGCAATTCGATAGGTAGTCTGTTGATATGCTAGATATATATTAGATAAGTAAAGCTACACATTAAGTAGAGGAACTAGAACTAGGCTAATAAATTACTGGCAACTAAATAATACTTAGAAATATGTACTATTCTAATTATACGATATGTTTAATATTATTGTCATGCTGAGGCAGTATCACAGTGCAGGGGCTGATCCTCCAATCGATTATTGATCGCATTTCGCGGCGATATCACAAATCGTTTGCGATTCTCAATCGATTGGCTGAGTCGACGATTGGTACGCTTCTTGCGCCACCTGTACACGCAGTAGCAGAACACTGTAGGGGGTTAAACAGTTGCTAAATTAATAATTAATTAACAATAACTCATAATTGATCACTTACCCAGTAAAACAAGTGCGACGCCGCCGCAGCAGCCAGCGGCAAATAGCCAAAAGCTGCGCGTCTCGGCCAACTCGGCACTGGCCAAACAACTGCTGAATGTTGACGAGTCCACTGTGCGATTGTAGGGCAGTGGACACACATCGCTGTCTATTGCCCCTGCCATATGGAATTAGAAACTTGGTCAAATGCCAAAATACAAAAACAGCAAACAGATGCAGCTGTCGCCAGCTGCAAAACTTCGTTGACTTTACTCACCCATGCAAACGGGCACATATTTTGGATTGGCGCCCATTGTCATTAGATGATTCGTCACTTGGTGGCAGTCGCAGGTGCTGATCTGTGTTCTCGTCAGATCGATGACACTTAAATGGCACAGATTTGCCAATTTGTCAATGCTGAACTCCTTCAGTGGATTCATCGAGGCATTCAGCTGCCACAGATCTGCCACACAAAACACAATCATTAGTTGATTATCCTATCCTATAAGCAACTGGGCAACTTCATTCACTTACTTGGCAGTGTGCCCAGATCGGGTATGTCGTCCAGCTCACAGTTGGCCACATTGAGATATTCGAGTGGTGCTCGAATGGGCTTCTCCAGCGTCTGGAGCTCTTGATGCAGACCCTTCAGCTCGTTGCTGTCCACGTAGAGATTCCGCAGTCTGGGCATCGAAAACAACTCCACGGGAATCGAGGTGAGTCCATTACTCGATAGATCAATTTCCTGTGGATCGATCAATGCAATGAGTTAATTGCTTAGTTATTAACTAATTGCTGACAGTAATTGGATTTTGGTTGACTGCTCACCTGGAGGGAGGTGAGGGGTGCAAACGTTCCCGGCTCCACCGATAAGATCATGTTCTCATACAGCATTAAAAACTTAATATCCGAATACCTCTGGAACGAGCCACTTTTGAGCTTCTTAATGCGATTGAACGATAAATCCAGTACCTGAAAAAAAAAAACGATGACTTTAATTCTCGCTTTATATTTGTCCAAAACAGTCTAGTCATGCACTGCAACGCTTCCTATAGCATCTGCTTAGCTGCACCTGATTTAATTGGAGAATATATGCAAGCACAGTGGGCACACTTGATAAATAAATACATTCTCTTTCTAAATTTTAATGCATTATTAATCTATACTCAGAAAAAAAATCAACCAAAAATATTCAGATTTTCTGGTTTTTATAAATATTTTTTCAATATAAAATGAAAAAATCCTTAGTGTTAAAAAGGAGATATCATAAAAAATCTTTAAAGTGAAATCACAAAATACTAAATTCTTGACTCATAATAATATAACTAACAATAAAACTAATGTAACAGTTCTCTGAACACATACGAAAAAACAAATCTAAGAATTAGACATATTTTTCAAAATTGTAAAAGCAAATGTAACTTAAAATTAAGAAAGAAAAATCGCGGTTTTTAGAAAGACAGAACCATCAGTGTTCTTTTGAAAATGAGTCAGTTTACGAAGATTATTTCTCTGATTATAGTAATATAGTATATAACTCAGTTCCAGCGAAGTTATGTCATTTGGCGTGTTGGATCCCAATTGGATTTTCATTGGATAGAATGCTAACATAAATTGAAAGTTTGCAAAATTTGAACAATTTTGAAAATGTACTTAAAACTCGCATAACTTAATTCAAGAATTTTGTTAAATTGAGCATAATTGTGTTCTAGATAGTGTGTGTCTTAAATGGCCGAGATCTCACGCAAATATATGTATATATTCAAATACATGTTCACATTCATATTCATGTTGCTTCTGTAGTCGCATATTCATGCCGTGCAACAAGTCAACTTCTTTATGCTTCAATTAAGCTCAATTGAGTGTCTGTGTGTGTGTGTGTGTTTGGGGTTGTTGTGTGCGACTGTGGCATGGGTATGGTTACTGTCCACTGGGGATATGATCAGACGTGAATTAAGTTTGGGTCATGAGATTTTTATTGGCACAAATTGACCTCTTGTGCCAGGTCGGAATCTGTCACTAATCTGATAATTGATGAGTCAGTTTCACTCACCTCGACCGATGTTTTCAGGTTTTGTGGCACCTCCTTGAGGTCCATTTTGTGGCAGCGTATACGCGTCAGTTTCTCAATGCGTCCATACGAGCAGCGGCGATCATCCTGGCTGGTTGTGCCAAAGGCCAGCATAGCATTCACAACGGATATGAAGACGATATTTAGTAGCAGGCAACGCAGCTCCATGCTGTGAACAGGCAGATAAATATAAATTCGTTTAAATATATATATATATATATAAAAGCATCAGTTGTGTGCCTATCACTTCATTTCTTTTCTTCTAATTTGGGTGTTTATTTACCTGACGGACTATCAAAATAATAAATAAAACTAAATGTACGCAGTGCCGCCGCACCTGACCCAAAAAACAATTATTTTCGAATTAACAAATTACAAGATCAATGCCGCGCCATTGAGGATCAGCCCCCAAGTTGGGTCAGTGTTGGATGTTGTCAGTTGTTGCTGTTGTTTTTCATTGTGCCCACTCTCAAAACATTCAATCAAGCGCAACTGTGATGCGCAGGGGCGGGTGCTGAGCGGGCGTGGCAACAAATTGAATTAGTTGTGAACTATGCACAATAATACAAGCCAAACAAAATTCACGAAATGCACCAAACGTAGCTCAACGCGGCGTATGAGTGATGTTCGCGTTGTGCTCTTGTCTCGCATATTACGTATACGTCACGTTATTGCTGCTGTTATTGTTATGCTTTCACGCACACGAAATCAACAAATAATGCACACAGATACCCTGTAATACCCTGTAATACTCGAAATACCCAATACTCACTAGTTTGTATATACTTCCTTTGTTTTATTTATTCAATATGCGAACTGTAAGAAACTTTTGTAACAATTGGATGATAAGCTCAAGCAAATATATATGAAATGGATTTGGGTTATAAAATCGCTGATTAACAGCTGCGGGATGAGTCTGTCAAATGTTATTTTTTTCTTTTATTGTTCCGCGTCGGGCCGGAACTTGCAATTCTGTTCAAGTGTTGTTCGTCAATGAAGATTAAAAGGGGGAATAAAAAGACCCACCTGCTAATTATCTGAGGCAAGACTGAGTCATTCGAATTAGACAAGTCTTAGTTATTTTACTTTATTGCAAGTTGCCATTGTCGGTTATCTTATCGTTTCGCCCGAAAATTTATTATATATCTCTTGATACAACATCAAACAGACAACGAGCTGCGCATTTCGCGCTATAAATCATATTCCAGATATAGACAGATACGGCAAGGCATTCTTCTTTTATGGATCGTGTCAAAACACGAAAAGCACTTTGCAAAACAAAAAGAAAAAGAAATCATTGAAGATCAAACTGTAAATTGATTTATTGCCAATCCGAATTCTGTGGCTGCCAATTGATAATCTGATGCCATATTTACGTACGTATGTCGGCAAAAATGTATTGATATCAAAATAGAAGATCGAAAATTGGTATAGTTTGCACTTTTCAGAATTGTTTGTGCTACTATCACGACCCGTTGCAATGCAATTGGTAAAGTCATGCGATCAAAAAGTGCTTTACTCTGTTCGGATTCGGTTTCGGTTTTGGTTTCGGTTTCGATTACGTTTTTCATTTGGAAAATGCATGTGCCAATTTGGAGTTTTGTTACAAAGCAGTTGCGTGATTGCAAATGCTTTGTTGACGACTAATTTGCTGTCTTTACATCTATTTACCTATTTCACAAAAAAAAACAAAACAAAAATGATATATCAGATATACAATGTTTTGGAGTACTCATATATATTTTTTGTGACATTCATTATAATTACATTGTATTTGTATAATATTTTGTTTAATCTCAAGTTTAGTTTATATAATTAAGCAAAGAATGCATTGCAAAAAAAATGCATTGTTTATACTCTATAAAGAAAACTCCTATAAGGTATAATGCAACAGTTGTAAAATATACCTGAATATTTATAGAATATCTTAGAGTCGGCCAACAACACAAGTTTTGATAAATGGCCTTAAGAAATGTTGACTTATGGCCAAAAGACTCAATCCACTTACAAAATGGCGTACGTTGGCCTATTTGCCCAGAACTTAACGGGGCTAAATGATGGATGTGGCGTCTGAGTGTGTTGGTCTTCTATCTATCTATATTTCTATATCCGATTTGAGCGCAATAAGACATATGCCAAGCCATTTCAAGTCGCAAACAATAATGCATGGCTTTAATGTCGCCCTATAAACGATAAGAGACAAGGCAACAAAAGCGCCTTTAGTCAATCAATAATAAAATGTTGAAATGTATATATCACAACCTTTCCGAGTATTGGCCAACTGATATATAAAATGACGCATTTTGGCCAATAATAGCTGAGACAGCAAAACACCGAGTAATTTGATTTCCTTGTAAATATTGCGTAGGTGGGGTGAGTTGGAGGGGAAGCAGATGAAGTAGCCGATATACATTTTTGGAATATGCCCAGAAATTCACTTGCTCCAATTGACAATATGTGTTGAGGAATATGTGCACTCAAAGTGCTAGCTAAAAGTATGCTGATCTTGATGCCAGAACTCTTGAATAAATAAAACTACGAACTTATTAGAAAATAAGTTTTTCAAAAACTTTCTGCGCTTAAATAAATTATCTTTATAATTTTTGTAGTTCTAAAAGGATCATAAATTCTCTTTCAAGTATTTGACTCATAAATAATAAAATATTGGAGGGAAAGCCTTATCTGTAGATCACACATCAAATCCCTTTCAACGACGATCGATACTGTTTATAACTAATATTGTTGATATATGGGCAATTATAAAGATTAATGACAATTTATTACAAAAAAAAAAATAATAATAAAAAATAATAATGTATAAGCTGTGTAAAGCACAAAACACGACTTTAAGTAAACAAATAATAATAATAATAATGATAAGCAAATCATATTTAAGCGATACACTAACTTCTGTCGCTCACTGTTTGTGTGTACCTCTGTCATTAGAGAAGTCTGCAGAATCGGCGAAAAAAAAAGAAGCAGCAACAAAAAAATAAAATTAAAGTGATTTCCACACATTTCGACACAGAGAGCGACCGCAACAATGAGCTCTGGCTATAAATACTTACTTATATATGCCATATACATGTTTTTTGTTCAAAAAATTTAAATTAAATTTGAAAATTTGTAAGGCAGGAGAAACAGAAGACAAGAGTCGACTGCAAAACTTATGGCATACAAAAAAACAAAAAAAAAAAAACAATTTTCATTCATTTCGGCTTAAAATACCAATTCAAAATTTTGATTTTTTTTTTTGTTGTGTTTAATATCTTTGGGGTATGGCGGACATTTGTTGAACTTAAATTCAATAGAATTGGCAATAAAAAGGGCTAATGCTCAACAGCGACAGCTCGATGCGGCGGAAAATGGAAAATTCTATAGCCATAAAAACAGATCAGACACAGCCGCTCCAGCCGCCCTCCAAATGGGCCAAATACGTTCGCGCCTTTTACATTAGAGTGGCGGGGTGAAATTCATTTATTGAAATCAGAACTCGAATCTATGCCCACTTCCACTTTGGCCGCATTTGTATAATATTTATTTATGTGTACATATGAGCCTCAATCATGAGGCCAAAAGCAATAACAAAAACAAATACACAAAATACAATACTCGACAATCCCCAAACATTAATAGCACGAGAAATTCATATTGGGCCCGGAGTAGATGTGTCAGCCAATGGATTACGGCCTGGCTAATGATAAATATATATGGAATATTATTTATCTACACAGATCGGAGGCAGATGTTAAGCAAGCGATTATGGGATCAGTGAAAAAAAAAGACTATAAAAAACCCAATATAAAAAATTAAAAAAAAAAACAAGAAACTTTAAATTAGTTTCAAATATTTTAATAACATTCTAAACATTTGTGAATGAATTTATGTGCTCTTATGATTTCCCGTGTCACACTTTGTGGGCGTTACGAGATGTTATATATGTGTGTATCTTCGTTTGCCCATGTATACCTCATCCCCTCCACACCCCACCCGCCTCAACAGGTGGGGGCCCCGTCCCCCCTTTAAAAGATTTATTTTCATTTTTCCTCAGCAGTGTGCGTTTGATAAAGATTTATTTGTTTAGACTTTATGTGTTGAAACAATACTAGAGCACACAAGAGGGGAGGATGCATACTCGCCTCTAGCAACCCACATTTTATATGTTTTTAACCGCTGCAACACTTCAGCGTAACTGAATCTTATCGGAGTACGTCAAGTACACCAGATGTCTGTACAAAAAGCAAAGTACTCTGCCAGTTGCTTCTTATCAGAGTAATTAAATATTTCTGTTCCGATGGCAAGTGTTTGGTTTTTGGGCCGTTATAATTCGAAGACGAATATATCGTCAAAGTCGAAGTGTAGGCAACATGAAATTAATTGATTGCAACAAACAACAACAACGGTAATAAAAACGTTGCCCATTTATTTCAATTAAACACAATCAAGAATACATTCCCCCAGCGACGCTGAAAAGACGATGAATTTCCAAGTACGAAAACCAAACAAAAAACGAGCTGCTTCAGCAGAAAAACTGACCATTGTCGAGAATGCCAATTGCCAATTGGGCTAATTAAAGAACTAACTATCGAAAGAAAATATGCATATATATGAATACATATTTTATAGATAAAGTTTACAGAGAACAGTTGAAAAATATTACATAAATACTTTAAGAAATATTTCAAGTATATTTTAAAAAATAAACCATTCTGAAACTTTATGTGTTATTTTTAAATAAAAAAAAATTCTGCGATCATACGCGACACAGAAATTCCAAGATATATAACTCTCTTATCTTAGTATTTGATTATTTTAGTCATAGATAATAAAATACTGAAAGTTAAAAAGAAGAAGAGAAAAAATTCTTTAGTCCCCATTGTTTGATCTTAACTCACGTTCACCAACGCTCCAGAACATGTACAGCTTATATAGCTGACTTATGGGTAATTACAAAGATTAGGCACCAATGGACGATAAGGCATGTGCCAGGTTTTATGAGAGGTAATTGCACTACAAGTTTCGGGCTCTGCATCACCTGCTAGGTGAGTTCTATAGCAGATTCATGTCATTTAACCGGCACTGAGTAAAAGTGAAACTTGTAAACACAAAATTGTTGAATGTTTGTCCATTAAAACGAACCTTTAGATAGCGATACACATGCCTTACCTTAAACCTTTTTAAAAGTAACCAAATAAAACGACTTATCTAGTTTTTCTTGGTCTCCAACCGCTGAATGTTTTTCAACTAAAATTTCTAATCAACTTGTAAATGAAATCTTTTGTGGCATTTATCTTTTGAATATTTTCCATTTGACATAAAATGCATTGTTGTGTTTTAAGAACCACCCTGGCAGACGAGTGTTTATAATCCCGCCTCAACTTTCAAGTTCCAGAAATTCTCGCAGTGTTCTCCGTCTCTACTTTCAATTGAAATCAATTTAGCTGTTTTATGTCATTATGCTGTGCAGAGAACTGCATTTTGTGTCAAACCGAGCATGACTAACTAAAAACCTAGAATAAACGACAGCTCAATGTTAAGTTTGTTGATTAGAATAAGAAAAGTACTAAAACATTCGGCACAATATTCCGTTAATCTACAACATTTTAATAACGATAACCCTCAACAACCCCGATTAAGGCTTTGAACGTCGAAATTTGTTCGCTTTGAAAACTTACCTCTTAGGTAATCCAATAAATATTATATATTCCCATTTAACAAGCGTTATCCTTTGGAATTTTAATTGTCCGGAAACACATTTTAAGCATTTGCATTTCCTTTCACTATGCTTTCTAATTTCCAGTAAATTGCACCCTGAATGATCGAGTAGACACTACACCAAAAAATACGTATATATCTCCGATTCACAGAAATTTCAGTCGTATTTCAATTAACACGAATTTGTTTTTCGTTGTGTTGTGTTTTTTGTTGTCCAAAGACGGAACCGATCGCGAACACCGGAACCGACCCGTTCAATCCAACCGCAAACTTGGAATTGAAGCAACGAACCAGCGACGAACTGCGTTCGCTCGGCGATCGGCTCCCTTTCGGGTGTCAGAGCCGACCACGTTGATAAAGTACCGAGGCGACGATAATGCAGCCCGGCCCGATGAGGGTGTTGTTCTGGATTGCGTTGTAATTTTTCGTTGGTGAAAATGAAAATTTCACGAGAAAATCTCACTCGCACTGTGCACTCATCTCGCTCTCTCTCTCTCTCGCTGTCCCACTCTCTCAGTGCAGTGGCAGGCAGGGTGATAACAATGAAAAGTGATATACAAATGTGTTTGCAGCCCACTGTGCTTAGAATTGAATTAAATCGCTCGGTTTTTGCCTCCGATTTCGACAGCTTTATTACTTGGTTTTTGTTGTCTGCAGCAGTTTCGGATTCAATTAGCCATCAAGTGCTAATAAATCGATACAATATTGATGACGATGTCAACCAGCAGCATTTTCAATATAATGAATCCATCACGACTCGAGCTTCCGACTCATTGCGAGACTCATTCATATTACAGCTAAAAAGAAGGCACATATTACGTCTGTGATAAGGCTGGAACGTCAGCTTATGCAATCAAAATTCTTATCAACAATGTTCCAATTTGTGAAGACCTTAAAAACTCTTCTGAACTGACAGTTGCCAAACAAAATGCACAATTCAGTTTGACTGACGGTTCTTTTGGGTATTTATCGGAAGACATTTTGAAGAAGACTGTCGATAATAAATACCCTTTCAAAACAGTAGCAATCTGCTGTTATTTTACCCATTATGTTAACCGGGAAAAGATCTCGAACAAATATCTACCTGTGGTCAGGTAAAATGATGCTGTTGATGCTATCCTCAGGTAGATTGAAAACAAAACATTTGCCCTTTCGTGGTTTTCTCTTTATTTGCATTTATTTTGTTTACAACATGAAAAAGAAATGGTAGAAAAATATGACATTGTGTTTTTGTTTTTGCAAGGTTTTTAATATAACAAACCCCATATTCCATTAATTTTTAGTCTTTGCTTCGTATTTGTTTTTGATTTTTTTTTGTTGGTTTTTTCTGCTTTTTTTTTTGTTTGAAAAATGTTTTTTTTTTTTTAATATTAGTAATTTGAATGTAAAGTATGTAATATAAATGATAGAAAATGTGTGTTTTTCACTTCTTCAGTTGAATTAATTGAGCAAACAAAAGTCATAAACATTGAAAATTAGCGAAATAAGTAAAAAAAAAAGAAGTGAGTAATTGTAAAACAAAAGAATCATAATAAATTAACCCACCCAAAATTGTTTCAGCACACAAACCTCCATTGGTAGTTTTGATTATATAAAATTGCTTTAAAAGTGTGTGTTATAATTGAGCAATTACGCTTTCCTTGCCATTTTCATTCAACAACTTTTCGTTGGTTAGATTTGCATCTAAATATTTTTCACAATTTTATTTTTTTTTTTAGTTGCACTTTTTCGATTTGTTTTATGCAACGTGTGTTTTTTTTTTTAAATGTTTTTCGTTTTTTTTGTTCGATTTTTTCTTATACAATTGTATTCGTTTTTTTTTTTTTGTTGATTATGTTTTTTTTTTTTGTTTTTCATTAATTAATAAGAAATTAGAAATGAGCTTTCATTTTGGTTTTCCATGAAAAATCAATGAAGCTGCCGGCTATATATATATAGCAAAATCATGAGCTTTTACAATCCTCTGTTTATCGCAGAATAAGTTTAACTTGTTCCAACTAAATTAGGTAATACAACAGATATACTTTAGCCAAAAATTAATCACAATCTTTTGCATTCATATTGCAAATATGCTTGAGTGTGTGTGTGTGTGTAAAAGGTGTGTGTGTGTGTTTGTGTGTGTGTGTCAGAATGCTTGAAGCATCAGAGCTCTGCATTCGTGCATGCCTCTCAACGCCTTTTGTTTGGCGGATGGATTAATGTTCAGGCTAATGGATGCCTCGTGAGGAATCTCCTCTCTAAGATTGTTTCTGGAGACGCAGCTGCTCGGCAATGCTGGTGTTCTGATAGAAAAGACGCACCACATGCGTGTCGCTCTCATCCATTTTGGTGAGTATCTCCAGCTGGAACGTCTCCGAGAAGCGAGTGTTGATGAACACGCCCAAGGCGGCCACGTCGCACTTGGTAATCAGGGCGCTCTCCAGTTCACAGTGCTTGCTGTAGCGCGCCGGCTTTGCCAGATCCTCGGGCAGCTGGCGGAACTGATCGGTGATGGCATTGTTGCCAAAATCTATAAAGTGCACTTCACACTTGCCCTCATCGAGGAGCTTGACTATCTCGGCCCGATAGAAGACCTCATCTTCGGGGAATTTGGCCACACAGATTGCACCCACGGCCAGCTGGGTGAAGGGTTCAAAATTTTGATCGGCATCGAGCATTTTATCGGTCATCTGTTCCAGCGCGGGCACATCCTGTTCCATTTGCACATAGAAGGACTTGGGATTGTCGTACTGCACCACAAAGCAATTGTGCAGCACCACCTCGAGCGGTCGCTGCACACCAGCCACAATGCTGGCCAATTCCTCTGCGAAATCCTTGTAGTTAATGCGCAATTGCACTGCCTGCTGGGTTGTCTCCTCCTCCTCCTCCTGCTTGAGTTCACTGACCAGCTCGTAGACCTCACCGAAATGCTGCTCCAGCAGCGCGGCAAATGCCGTCTCCAGCTGCTCATCCGACACATCCTGGGGTATTTCATTCAGCTTGCAGTGGAGCGCCAGTGGCGGTATTTGACATAGCTGCTCGGGCAGCGTGTACACCTGCTGGGTGACCACAGTGCCGCCGTAATCCATGAGGAACACCTCACAGCCCTTCTCATCAGGCAACACTTGCCGGATGCAGCAGCGATAATAGCAATCATCCTCATAGCATATCCCGTTCACTTTCGGGGCAGGACTCGACACCTTCTCGAGGTGTTCGGCTGTCAGGGACTGCAGTGTTTTCACAATCAGATCCAGTTCGGCCGAGTTCTTCTTGAGCTGCACATAGAAACTCTTGGGTGAGTTGCCATGTGAAATGATGCACTCCTTGTTATTATTATCCTGCTTCAGCAGCGCTGCAGCATCGAGCAGCTTCTGCAGCTGCTCATGTATGTTGAGTGCATTTTTGTCCATCGTCTTTAGACGGACCAAAGGCGGCTCCGCCGTCTTGTTGACAAACTCGACGGCCACCTCCCCATTGCAACTGTCGATGAGGGCGTCGAGCGCTTCCCGGGATTCCTTGGGGTATTTCAGAAAGTTCACGCACGATTCGAGAGCATGCAGCTCGGCCAGTGGCTTCACTTGAGCCAGCTCCGACGGCAGCTCAAATAATTTATCCACCAGCGCCTGATTGCCGTAGTCAATGAACAAGACGCGATATTGCAGCGACTGCTTGGCGGGCAACTGCTCCAAGATGCGTGCTCGATAAAACTCATTGTCATCGGCAAATTGGGCGACGCACAGCTCAGCCAGCTGAGCAACGCCCTGCTTAGGCTGCAGACTGGCGTTCTCCGAGTTCAGCTGCTCGCTGGTGTTGTCCACGAGTTGATTGTCCGACTCGAACTGCAGATAGAAGCTGGTGGGACTATTCACGTGGGTCACAATGGCCAAACGGCTAGCCGAGGAGTCAGCACTTGACTCCCCGTTGGACGGGGCGGCAGCAACTGGTTGTTGCACCACCTCCGGCTTGGGCTGCTTACGCGTGCAAAGTGGCAACAATTGATCCAACACATTCTCCTCATCCAACAGCAGATGGATGAGGACATGCTTCAGTCCCGGCTGCAGCAGTTGTGTGGTAAAAACCAATTCACCCTCGCCGGTAAGCTCGGCAAATTTGAGCTCCGCCTGCTGAGACCAATCAACATAATCCTCAGGCAGCTGCAACGAGCAGCGCTTCGACAAACTGGGGACCGTTGCTATCTGCTCGGAGAGCAGCAAACACTTGGCCGTCGTCGATTTGTTGCCGTAGTCAATGAAACGCACCTCGTAACGCGAATCGGGCATCTGACGCAGTAGCTCGGCCCGATAGAAGAGTCCATCGTCATCGAAGAGGGCGGCCACAATGCTGCCCTTTTCGAAACGCTGCAGCGGCTGCAGCTGCTGCTCCGCATCGCCCAGATACATTTCGATCAGTTCGAGCGCCTTCGAGTCGCTCTCCAGCTGCAGATAGAAGTCAGAGATGCTATTCACATGCGATATGTAACAGCTGCTGCCACTATTCACGTAATCCAGGGGCTTGGCATAGCCATCGGCAATCAGTTTCTTGGCCACATCGACGCCCTCAATGTAGAGATTGACATAGCTGCGCTTTTGGCAATCGCCGCGCGACAAATACTCATAGTGGAGCAGCTTCTCGTACGAATCATTGAAGATGCCATTGGCAGCGTCTGCCCACTCCAACGTGCCATTGGGCGCAATGGGCAGGGCGAAGGGCAGACACAGTGGCTCCGTTTGGCTGCCCAGGCTCTGCTTGATCTCCTTGGCGTCCGAGACGCAATCGGTGTTGCCATAATCGATGAACTGGAGCACCATTAGCTCCGCATCGAGTATTTTGGCACGATACCAACACTTGTCCATCGAATACATTGAGATGCATTCGGCGCCATTGACAACATCCATCAGCTGTGGCAGCGATGGCGACACAATCATTAGATTCTCGGTGAGACGCTTGAGCTTGGGCAGCGCATCCATGGTGTGCACATAGAAGTGTGCGGGATTATCGCAGTGGCTCAGCACAGCGGTCTCCATGTCCTTGTACGGATCCGGTGGTGGTGGCACAGCGACAGCTGTCTGGCTGGGCGTGGGTGAGACTACAGGAGTAACAATTGTTTCAATCTCGGGAACGGGTAGCGGCTCAGGCACAACTTCAACAGGTACTGGCACCACTTGCTCCACTGGCTTCGTTTCAGCCTTGGGAGCAGCAGCTACTGGCTCTATTGGCGCCGCCGTTGTTGGCGCCACCTGTTCCGGCTGTTTGTTGTTGTTGCGCTGTTGTTTGGGCTCCTTGGCTTCCTTCGGTTCCTTTGCTTCCTTTGCCTCCTGCTGTGACTTCTTGGTCTTGGGTGAGCTGTTTGTCGAGTTTGATTTGCCTGCCTTGCGCTGCTGCTGGTGCTCCTCATCATCATCGATGGTCAGGTCGACGCATTCAATATACTCGTATATGTGGGGCTTCTCCTTGTCCAGCTGCTTGCGCATATAATCAATATCCCTGCCCGCAATGAGCTTCTCTGCCTTCAGCTTGTCCAGCAGGTTATCTTTTCCATTGGACAGGAGCACATCGGCAATGAGATGATTGCGTCGTGTTTCAATGGGCTTTACTGTGACCACCGTCTCCAAGAGGCTGGCGAGGCGTGTCTTTAATTTCTCATCGTTCTGGATGCGACCAATTGGTAAATTGATCTCAACCGCATAGCAGCTTCGATTCACATAGAACTTCTCCTCCAGCTGCTTGAGCTTTTCGCGCGACAACTGCTCCGAGTTGCCATAGTCAATGTACAGCACATCCAGGCGTGCGCCCTTGTTATCCTTTGACAGGATGCGTGCACGATACCAATTGCCATCGGCGCTCAATGCCGCACAAACTTGATCCTTCTCAATTTTTCGCAGCTGTTTGCCTGGAAGGAAGAAACAGCTTAATACAAGTGGCTTAAAGTAGACCAAGATTTAGAATTGGACATTTTGTGTACCAACAAACTCCATTCGGACAAATCCAACTGTTTTGTCTTTGACTCACCTTTCTTGGAGTAGTACTCAAACATATCGTCCAGCAGCTGCTTCATGGATTCCTGCACATCGCTGGGCTGGACCAAAATACGATAAGACTTGGCCGTATAGACGACGAGTGCCTTAAAACTATTAACCAATACGGGATAACCGCAAATAAAGGGATTGCGCTCCTCCTTGAGCAGCGGCATAACAGGTCGCAAGTGAATGCTGCCCAAATCAAGAGGAATACATTAGTTGAATGGTTTGGTTAACGCTGAGAGCTGCTCTCTCACTCACATGTTGTTCTCGCACACATGCTTTATATTTAGGGCATACGATTTACCCTCGTAGTACTGCTTGAAGGCCTTGGCCATCTCCTGGTCGGACTTGACAAATTTAACGTCATCGTAGCTGCACAAGAAGTTCACATCGCTGCAGCTCTCGAGTTGTATCTTAAAGTTGGTCATATCTCGAATTGAGGTGAATTTGCCACGCACCTGCTGACCAGCCAACAGACTAACTCGCACCTCTGAAAAAGTATGAGATCAAGATTAGATTTGTGGCTACTCATTGAACATATATCTTGTTGTTGGACTCACGCTCTGAGACCTCGGTAAGGAACTTTGCACTGATTAGAGTATCTCGAAGAGAGGCGCCATTCACCAGCATTTTAACTATGTATGTGTTGCCAATGCTATTATTATTGTTATTGTTGTTGTTGTTCTGGTTGTATTGCAGTTGCAGCTGTTTCGATTTGAACTCGCATTCGACTTTTGCATTTGCTGGCACAAATTTCTCCATGCGATCAACGATATACAAATGATCATAATTGGTCACCACTCGGTCGAAGCTGCAGCGTTGCGCCAGACACGGCGGCTCTGCAAATCGCTGCTCCAGCTGCCAGACATCCTCCGAGGAGACAGTCAACATATTGCCAGCGTCGACGCAGAAGATGCGATATTTGCGCACCATCTGATTGGAGGCAACAACGGTGCCCCGCATTATGGCATTGTCCTTGCGCTGACGCACAACCACACTGGAGCCGACCTTCAGCTGGAGCTGCTGATGGGGCTTCTGGCGATAGAACTGCCGCATCTCGCGCAACAGACTCTCGTATTTGGTGGCAAGGGATTTTGGCACTACGTAAAATTGGAATGGCGATACCCACCACGAGAGACTAGCCGCCTCCTTGGTGGGCGTTTTTATATCCTGCACTGCAAACGCTTTGTCCAGCGGCACATATTTCTCCGGCTCGGGCATGGGCACCGCCTTAGCTGCTGTTGTCTCCGCATTAGATGTGGCATCACTTTCCACACCACTCGATCGCTTCGAACTGCCGCCATCCAGCGTGGACTTTTGACGTTGTGGCTTCTGTGCGAAGCCCTGCGGTGCATTCTGTGAGCGCTGGTTGGGCGAATTCCGCTGCGACTGCTGCTGCTGCTGCGCTTGATCTTTGCGTGGCGACTGATTATTGGCAAAGCGACTGCGAAGAGAAAGTAGAAATAGAAAGTAATTCAAGACTGTAAATTACGTATCCTTGCAGCTGACAGATATATCTGACCCAATCTAAGCAAAAGCTATGAAATGGTTTGCCATTAAGAAAATAGTTATTTAAAAAGGGAATTCGCGTTTGACATCAATATGCATTTATCACAATTAAGATTTAATAAATATAATTCAAATCTTTTTGAAGGCTTTGATCAGAAAAGGAGTTTGTGGATGGCAGGCAAAGTTTTACATCTTCGACATACATCAGCACCCGGGAGTGACTATTAACAGGCAGAAGATCAATTATGATTAACTTTGGAGTAATTGAGTTGACTAAGAGTTGAATATTTTGAGATCCAATTAATTAAGTTATTTGGAAATTCAAGCAGATTTAGATTAATGATGAACTAACAAAAAATGATTTATAAAGTCAAAAGTCAAGTGTCTACTGATGATTGGGGCCACTTCCAATCCCAACTTCTCAATACTCACGTATTTTTGTTGGCTTCCGGTTTGCAGACGCCATTTTGCAGTCGCGGCGAATCCGTGCGATTGCGTCCATTTTGGCGGTTGCCCTTGCGCGGGGAGCTCATGCCGCTGGTGTAGCTGCTGGTGCTGTGACTCTCAAAGCTGGTGTCGATGCGCGTATCTCGACTGCGTCGAACCAAATTGCCATCGACGCCACCATTGCGTTCGGGTCGTGCCGGATGCTGTTGCACCGGACGCTTGGCGCCGCTCTGCTGCGATTGGGTATCCTTCGAACTGGCAGATGCTGAGCTGTGCTTGTCCCATTCGTTGTTGGCATTCCTTTTCTGCTTCTGCTGCAGCTGCATGCGATCCTCACTCTCGACGGTCGTCGAGTTGAGCACCTGACCCTTCTCCAGCTGCTGAGGCGCTGCCTCTGAAGTTATAGACTCGGCACGCGTCACATTCGCATTGAATTGACCCTTCTCCAGGGTGAGATACTGCTCAAATGGCATGGACAGCTTGTAGAGCTTCTTCATCACGTTCAGATTCTTGGCCAGCAGATTGACGACATTGAGGCCATCGGGTTCAATGCGAAAGACACGAACGCTGAACGCGCGACGACTGACGTTCGACTCCTCGGCAAGCATCTCGAACTGAACGGTGATCTTATCCTCTCTCAGCTCGCTGTTCTCGAAACCCTTCAGGCAGCACTTGATCGCCTGGCGCGGCATCTTCAGATGCTTCTCGGCAATGATGCCGATCAAATGCTTTTGCACTGCCTCCTCATAGCCAAAGTCCACGTGACGCACAATAGTTGTGGAGGAGTCATCCACGCGCAGCAGCTCGGCACGATACCATTCACCCTCGCATTTGACGACACAGGGTGCGCCAAGGACGAGCTGATCGGGCACCATCTGATTGATGTTGTAGTAGGCAAACATTTCATCCATCAGCTGCTCGAATTGCTTCACGTTGTTCACCTTCTGCACGTAAAAGTTGTTCGGCGAATCGATGTAACGTATCTCGACGATATCATCATTTTGCAGTGGCTCCGCTTTGGTATACGCCTGACGCGAATTCTTCTGCATCTTTAGCTCCTCCAGCTTGCTGTTGCCCTGTGAGAGATGAGTGGTTTTTGTTTTAAATATGTCGGAATCCTATAATTAAATGTATCACTTACATTGCGCATCAGCTGGCAGGTTTGCATGGAGCCCACACTCTCAGCCGCCTGCACTGTCAATTGGAAGTTTTTATATATCACTGAACTTTGAAAGATGCGTTTCATGCTCTCATCGAGGGCGCCCAACTCCTTGGCGCCCGCGAGTGCGAAGCGAAAGGCAAACGGTTTGATCTGCAACAGTTCCTGAGGTATCTGATAGAGATCTGTCAGCGTGACCATCTCGGCGTTGCCATAATCCACATAGACAACACGGATACGCTTGCCGTAGACGGCGCTGACTAAGGCACGATAGCAATTGCCATCCTCGGAGAAGCGTGCCACACATGCAGTGCCCACGCCCGGATATTGAATGAGTGTCTGCATACGCATACGCTCGATCTGGCCCATCATGGCGTTCAGATCGTTCTCCGCGCTCTTCAGCTGCACCCAGAACAGATGTGGTCCGTTCTCCACGAAGCTCACGTAAACATCGTAGGTCAGACCCACTGTGAGGCTGGTGGTCCGAAATGCCGGAATAATGGGTTGCAGCACTTGTTGCTTCTTCTGTGCAGCTGCTGCAGCCGCTGGCGGTGGTTGCGATAGTGTATATCGTGGTGCGTGAGCATAGCTCAGCGCTGGCTGCTTGGGCAACTGCATCAGTGGCATCTGCTGCGGCTGCACCTGCTGCGGCTGCATGGGATTATTGAGGCGCACATTATAATACATATTCAGTGGCCTGGGACTAGTTTTGGGCGTGTAAACATTGTGCGTGGGCAACAGCCCCGACGATGGCTCGGAAGTTGAAGAATAATTGGCACGTTGTGTATTGTATGCTAGATGATTGGCCGTGGCAAATGGCGCCGCCTTCTGTACATTGGCCAGATGTACGCCGGGTGCCGCCTGAATGCTGCTTGGCAAAACATTTGTCTGCAAATTCAATTGAAATGAAAATAACATTAGAGACTTGATTAAGAAAGCTATTAAATAATTAAGAAGATTTTAGTAAATTATTTCCATGACGCTTGGTTAAAAAACAGAGTTTTACACAACTTTTATCAACAAGATTGTCTTTAATCTTAAAGAAACAGAAAGAAAGAATGTCTTTCTTCGGCACCATAAAGATAAAATTCCCTTTTAGAACAGTGTCAAATTGCCGACATTTAAAGTTCACTATATATTTATTGATATGGTAAGCTGAAACCGATGATATTTGGTTGGTAAATAGAAGCAGCATAATAATATGCATACTGAGCAAATTTGGTTCAGATACCTTGGCAAACAAAAAAGTTATTTCTATGGCGCCATAGGATAGTCCAAATATACAGTGCAGTACATATAGACATCCGATCCGCCTGCAGCTAAAAGACCGATGAGGAACTAGTTGACAGAGAAACAGACGGACAAGGCTGGTGATGCTGATCAAGAATGTATACGCTTTATGTTATGGGAGACGTCTCCGTTAATGCGTTACAAGCTGCACGATAAAATCATAATAGCCTCAACAAAGTTATGAAAATGCCTCAGCTGAGTCAACACAAAACGCTGCATAGATATATATATATATATATTTGGATTATCAAAAGCATACCAAATTGGCCAAGGGCGTAGGCATCACCATTTGGGGAGGCGGCTGCACCACCTGCTGCTGCTGCAGCTGCTTGGCAGGTGGTATATACTCGTTTGTCGCTGCGGTTTTTAGCGGTCTGGTTGGCGTTGTGGCTAGCGTGCGATGCACGTCGAGGCGAGCGGCAAGCGAATAGCGTGCCGCAATTTGTTCGCGCGCCAAGTCTGTGGGCGTCTTGGAGGAGTTGTTCGTGTGCTGGATGCTATTGTTGTTGTACTCGATAAGGTTGGTCTGTGGTGAGGCCGCCTTCCACAGATTCTTGCAGTGGTCCATGATCAGCTCTTTGGCAATGGGTGCACCGATTTGCTTCTGCTCCACAAGGAACTCATTGAGCTCGAAATCCTTCCAGCGTACGCTGGCAAATTTCTGGCCACATATCTGGTCGGGATCCACCTCGATGCTGACGACATGATTTGCCATCAATTGATTCACCGCATCCAGTTCGCTTTGATTCCACTCTGAGCATATGCCCAGCACAATATATTGCGAGCAGAGAACTGGAATATTCTGCAGCAGTTGCGGCTGTTTTGAGAATAGCAGCTGTATGCATAAAAGAACAAAACAATATCAGTTTACATTTGATAACTGCGGAATTTGATTTCATGTGTAAAATTCACCGACTCACATCATGACTGCTCACGTTACGCTTGTAGCCGTAATCAAGAAACTCAATCTCGACGCGCATTTGGCTGCGAGTGTTGCCCGTGTGGTGTTTGCTGTCATTGATGCCAGCGCTGAGAACACGGGTTCGCATATATTCCACGTCGCCGGGAGCGGCGCCATTTCTTCGCTTGAGCACACAGCATGTGCCGGGCGTGAGAAGCGCCTGTTGGCGCTCAATTGACCAACTCGGGTCTATGGCAAAGCATGTCGGAAGCAATTTCTCGATGCGCTGACTAACCATCAGGGCCGCATCCAGATTGGCCTGACCGTACACCTTCAGATAGGGGCCAACATGATCCAGATGCGTGACGTACAAATCAACGCTGGTTGCTCCGCCACCATTCAATGGCGCCTTGCCGTTCATATTACTATTCTTTTATCGCTGCAACAAGATGCAAAATATTCAAATCAGTATCGAAAAACTATGCAAAATGCAAGGTATCATTTGACATTTGAGTTTTCAATCAATATATTCAAATGCTCACGCACACACACAAAATAATTATATATATACATATACATATGTAAATCAAGACTTTTAAGTGTCACTGCATTGTTCTAAGATGACGTTAACTGCCTATCACACACACACACACTTATACAAATTAATCGTCATGGTGTAAAATAATCAATTTATATGCAGCGCACAATTCCTTTTTTCTTCCGATTGTCACCAAATATATTTAGCAAAGCTTCAATTTCGATTTCACCCACACACACATGCTACTTATGCTTGTATGCAAAGCGAACAGATAACCGTTAATGCAAGACGAGTGCGTTGTCAATTTTTCGTTGATGTGTACTTTGACAACCCCACGTCGAAATGCATGAGAAATAGCTGTAAACATGGCATGCCTACTGCCAAAATCCTATTTTCTGAGGTGGAATATGCGTGTGTTGTGTGTGTGTGTCTTATCGTTGTTGCCACACACACATAATTCTCGTTCTAGTTTTGTCTACTTTAAAAAGAGAGAGAGAAAAAAAGACAGTAATTAACAAATTCCAAGCAACTTACGTTGTCGTCGTCGTTGTCCACAGCGAAACTCGGAAAAAACGCCCCTGCCTCTCTCTCCGCACGTCCCCTGTGTGCATCAATATTCCTCAACAGTCACTCACAAGCGCCCAGCCGATTGAATTCTTTTTGCGCTGATCCGCTTTGCTGTTCTGTATTATTGCGAATTCTTGTTTGTTTGTTTTTATGCTGATTTCTGATTCCGCCGTGTGGCTTAGAAAATGGGCGACAGACAGGCGGGCGGGCGGGTGGCTGGATTTGGCACACTTTTTATGTGTGATATGAGCTGTGAGCTGCGAGTTGTTGAGCGTTTTTCCTCTTTCGGGCTGGCTGGCTGTCCGTCAGTCAGTCAGAAGTGTGATGTTATTTCGTAGATGTAATTGTAGTTGTAATTGTGTAGTAGAAAGAAAGTCTTCGAGTGTGATTAGAAATCGTTTGCGTTTGCGTTTCAGTCTTTTCAGTTTTCTTTTTGTCGTCCTTCAAAAGTGCTTGCGTCGCAAGCGCAACCCAATTTGAACGTGTTGCAGTAGTTTGTAGTTATATCATAAAGCAATTAATCAATGCGAAATAAGTTTTAATTCGAAATTTGTTGTTTCACTTGCCCACCCAAGTAACTCAGCCCGAGACAACGACGACACGACTGTCGATATGTTGATCGATAACCAACGGAACAGTGTGACCGTGATGTATGCAAGTAAAAATACTGTGCGAGAGGAGCAACTCTGTTAGTGTAACAGGAGTCTAACAGTGCGTTAGCAGTGCATAACAGCTATAACTTCGAGTTGACTCCAAATTTATTGACAATTTAAAAAATATGCATTAAAACCCAATAATAAAGTATATTTTATGGTATGTATTTACGAATAGCCAAGCCATTTTTAATTTCTTTAAGTTTTGATTACAGTTTACAGTTTACAAACTAAAATGATTGCATTTAAATGTTCGTTTACATGTGTATAATATATATATATTTTTATATAGATTAATATATTTTGCTAAGAATTTCTATTCTTTTCTCTTCTTTTCATTTTTCTTCATATTTCTCTTCAATTGTTTTAATTAGAATTGCATACAAGTATAAATACATATATGCATACATCGTAATAGTAAATTGTTTTACTTTCAGATCCATTAATAAGGCGCATTCCAAAGTTGTTCTGTATATAATATATCCGAACTCAATCTAGAATCTAGGCAATTAAAGAGAATATTTATATTTGATATTTGAGATATGCAATACAAGACTCGATACGCAGCAGGCTGAATACAAATACAAAAGCACATTGAATTATTGCTAATCGAGTTTATCAATTACAGCCAAAAACAATTAAACTCAACAATTAAATTGCAAAATATATTGTAAGCAGAAGCAACGATTATATAGTAATAGAAATTACAGATTATAAAATAATTGGGCAAACATAGCAGGAGCAGGAGGAGGAGGACGAGGAGGAGGAAAGGAACAATAATTAACACATGCACCAATTTACAACTGTTCTTTTTTTGTTTTTGCAACAGCAGTACTTATGTGATGATGTACGGTTGATGTACGGTACAGATTGATAGATGTATGGGTAGAGTGGTGTTATTGAAAAGAATGTTTTCACTACAACTCCTTTTGCGTAACAACTAAACAAACTAAATTAAGCTTTAATATCTAACCGAAACCCAGCAGCCCGTGGCATCGTCGCGTCTATAATAACGGGGCCGATTATCCCTGAAGACGGTGACAGCGGGAAACTGGTTCTCCTGTATGAATCTAATTGTGGCACGCATCTAATCAAAATCACACAATTAGTTATAGCTCTCTCTTGGGGGAAAATATTTTTGGATTTTATACGAACATGGGGCGCAAAATGCGGCGGCTCCACATCGGGACTGGAGGACAAATGTTGCAGCAGAAACTCATCTGTCTGTGACAGCCACAAGTCCGCACCTCGCAACGGATCATAGTTGAACGGTCCAATGCGCAGCATGCCCAGCGTCGAATCATAAACGTCCAACACCTGTTTTTCAAACAGAGAGAGAAAGCAAATAGTTAATGACACCCCAATTGAGATAAACTTGAAAAAAACACTCACCGATTGGGCGCCCATAAAGATGCGCGCGTCACGCAACTGTCGATCGGGTCCCCTGTCCGGAAACGAGGCTGGAAAGATCTCGCCAGTTTTGATATTGACACCGACACCATAAATGATGGGGCAATTGATCTCGCCGCGCAGCATTGTGTTCAGCTCGCCGACGCAGGCCTGCGTCAAATCAATCTCGAGATGATGCTTGTGGAATGATTCTGCAAGCGTTTACATATTGGTTAATATTTGCATCAAATGTTGCCGGGGATGTTTGTTTTTTTTTTTTTTTGTGATACTCACGCATAATGCTGTAGAAAACATCCTCACCATAGCCCTGCGAGTCCCGATAGCCGCCAATGAGCTGCAATTCAATGCGTCCTTCGGGATAGCCAAGTGCTAATTCCTGGACACGCGACACCATTGTGCAGACGGCCTCATCGACGCCGCTGCCATCGAAGTGCGCCAGAGCCACTGCGCCCGATCCTGAATGGAGAAGTGAAACAACAGAGAAACATGAGGTTAGCATTTTAACGAGCCAAACGAAGCCAATTTACGAGACAACAACAACAAGAGTAACAACAACTCACCCGAGTGGCGGACAACAATTATAATACAGGTGGTGGCATCGTCTGCACCAATGATGTTGATGTTCTTGTCATGAGGCGCAGCAGCGGCCAACTCCCGCTGTCCCACATACAGCAGTCCAACGGGTCCAACACTTTTCGCCTGAATGGAATGCAGCTGCTGTGCGTAATCTCTGTAGACGGGATGCTGCAGGAACAGGGTGTTTGTGTCCATCGGACAATCGTCCTGCAGCACACCATTCAGCACTAGAACCATCCTGTGGTCGAGTCGAGTCGGGTCGGGTCGGACTTGGGCTCTGGGTCTGGTCTAGTTACGCAAACGCTTGCCTCCTCCTTCGATTTCAATTACGTCCAGTTGTATTTGTTGTTGTTGTTGCCCCTTAAGACGAGTAGCAGCAGCAGCAGCAGCACCCAGCTGAAAAAGAGTTGCAAGTTGCGAGAGGTTTCCATTATTTGACTTGGCCACAATCTTTTCCTTGGTTTTTTTTCATTCTTTTTTTTTTTTTTTTTGTTTGCCAGACAACAGAAGCATAAAAATCAATTTACGATGCAAGTCCGCCACGAAGATGGCAGCCACAGATTTGCATGCTTGATAATCATTTTTAAAGGCGGGTGTACAATAAAAAAAAATAAAAAATCAAGTATGAAGAAGGCTTCTTGCTGGTCTCGCATATAAGATACCCTAGGCTGATATATGAGATATATGTTTATTTTTGCGATCTTTGCCGAAAAGGAATTTTGTTTCTCAATAAATTTAGTAAAATTAAAGAACCTTTGACCTGGTTCCAACGAAATTATATTTAAATAAATTTGATTAGCTAAACATATATGATAAGAAGATTGGTGAGAGTCTTGAAAGAGATTTTTGAGAATTTGTACAGGAATTCAATTTTTATACGATTATTCCTAGATATTAATATATATATATATGAAAGAGTTTATGCTAATAGTTGGATGATAATCTGACTTATAATGAAAGAGGTTAAAAAACCAACCAAAAATACAATCCCAAAATACGTTTTAAAAAATAGTATAAAATAAAATTGAAAATAGTTTTACTGCCGAAAGGGTTTAAAATGCTGATCTAATTTATCTTTCTCTCTTTTCACTTCTCTTTCTCTCTCTCACTCTCCATCTCTATCTATCTCATATTACTGAGCTTCTAACGCTTAACCAGTTTTACTCTGCTTGGTTTTTGCTAAGAGTTTTCGCAATATTTGGATTCTTTTTAACATATTTATTATTTCAATTATTGTAATTGTTTACTTTTTATCATTTTAAATTTAAATATAATTATGCACTTTAAATTATATATCATTCAAATTGTAACTTTCATTTTAAATCTAAAATGAAAATTCAAATATTTATTATTTAAACCCTGTTTTAAAGATTGAGGACTGCTTTTAGTGCACATTAGATAAATAAAAAATATTCCGGGATACTTTGTACCTCTACAGCTCCATATCAGGTTTCAGCAAAGAAGTTTACCAATTGAATGACTAATTAAAATATGACTAAAAAATATATATAAACAAACTCATCTGTAAATAATCATTTGCATCTATTAAAATAATCTTTTACAAGGGCATACGAAATTCGGTTAGCCAGTGTCAGTGAGGAAGAGAGCTGGTTGGGGCGTGTCGATTCGATTCCAATTCGCTTAGAATTGCCAACTCGGTGTTGTCTCAGTTGCTGGCTTACATTGGTCGCCGCTTGACCAGGCTCGTAAATTTTTGGAGGCCCTTTCGCGAAATGCGAAATAAAAATGTCATAGCCGTGGCTGCAGGCGAAATTATATTGTACTCGTATATTATTCAGAAATAAATACTTTATGATCGAAATTGGGTTCCCAGCAGGGGGGTGAACAGGGGGTGGGGGGTGTGTGTGGCACGCCCACAATTGACAGCTGTGGCGCATTTGGCGCTGGCCACCGGTTGCCGAGTTGCCGGGCAAGTTGCAATAAATCTAATAAATACAATTTCCGAGGCCGCCTTTGGGTCAACAATTAGCTGCGACGCCTTATAGAGTTATGTGTATGTGTGTGCGTGTGTGTGTTTGTGCGTCAATTGATGCCACACCAAAAGTCACAAATGTCACACGAAAGTTAATAACAATTAAGTGGCGAACTGTCGACAATAGGCGACGCCACAAGCCGCAAGCCGCAAGCCTACAAATATCAAATTAACCAGGCAGCGAACGCGACTCTTGCGGTAATTGAATGAAAATGTCATTTACAACCACTTTATAAAACAGCAGCATTGCACCAGCATCTGGGAAAAGATCTTAGAAGAGCAGTAGAACAACTCTAAAATATGTTTTACGAAACTCTTTCCTTCCTTAGAAAGCAAACGCCTTCAACTCACAGAAATCAAATGAATTTTACAAGATACATTTCTCGATGTTCTCACTTTAAAAAGTATCTAAATCAAGTTATCGAACCGAAACGAAGTTAGTTTCCGATTCTGGTATGTAATGTATAAAAATTCCCGTAAATATTCTGGTATTTTTCCAAACTTTTTAGCTACAGTCGGAATATTTTGATGCTGGTGTGAGATCATCCGATTACAGGTGGCAAGGAACCGCTTTGCATTTTGGCTACAAATTAACAACATCGAACAAACATATCATAAAGCTTGGTTGGTTGTTTAAATGTGTAATTAAATTGAGGTGTCAGCAGGTGGACGTGCCTAAAACTGGACTGTTTGTGATAAAAATGTTCTGAATTTGGTTACCGATTCAGAATTGCAATCGGTATCGGTAGCAAGTGGTTCCGACTTTGATATATTTCCATTTCAAAATTTCAATTTAAGTAAGTGCTAAATATTTGTGCACAAAAAGAACAACGATAGAAAATTGAATATAAAATAAAGAAAATAAATCAACGCCAAGAGTACTCAACTAGTTGCAACACATAAAGTAGCAGAGATCAAACATTAGTTGCTGCTTGCAACCTGAACTTGGAGCACCCTGTGCGCAACAATTGGCAGCAATGCATTTGCGAGTCATGTCAAGTAGCAGCGGCAATTGACTCTGGTCATCAACATTGTGGCGCGCATTGTGTGTAATTGAGTTACATATCTACCTAAAGCCACTGTCTAGTTTCAATTAAGCAAAATAAAAATGAGTTAAAGTTCAAGTACACACACACACACACACACAGAGACTTACACACACACACACACACACATATACAGATTATGAGTGTGCAATAAAAACAACATCAAGTCATAATCATTACAAGCAAGTAAATGCAAACAGATTCATTTGATTCATTTCATTCGCAACAATTGTCAGAGCTAATTCCTATGCCTGCAGCAGCATAAGCAAAATCCAACTGGTCCAAGAACAAAAGAAAGAAAAAATTAAAATAAATAAAGGAAAACAGCTAGAAATTGGCCAACAATAACAACACTATTAACTGCACCAAGAAAAACACAATGCTATAAGAAAATAGTTGAAAAAAAAAAACAAAAACAAAACAAAAAAACAAAAATAAAATAAAACAGGCAAACCGAAAGGCAGCGTCTGACTTTTTGGGGGCATGTTGCCGGTGCGCTGTTGCACGTTCCTGAGCTCAGCTAGTTGCATTATACATTGTTGCTGGTGGCTGTTGCTATTGCTATTGCTATTGCTATTGCTGTTGTTGTCGTTGTTGCTGTGTTATGTGTCTTGCCTGGAAGCAATTTAGCCGCGATCATGCATGAATCTTGATTAGATATTCAACGAGAAATAATTTGAAAATGATGACAGTTCAAGATATGCGCGTGTAGACAACTAAAAACAAAATAAAAAATAATGCAAAAAAAAGAAAACACAGAAACGGAACGGAACGGAAAGGATTTGACTGGAGTCGACAAGGAGAAGTGCAGTTATGCATATTGCATATTTTGGTTAGTGGAACTATTGTATAATTCCCCTGATCCTGTAAATTCAATCTGCCCTATGACAATGCCCCAGGCGCAGCTATTGTAGCTGATAGATAGATAGAAGCCAGCCAAAAGACTCAAAAGCCAAAACTCAAAGCCGAAAATCGAAAATCGAAGAGCTATTGGCAGACAGCAGTCAACAGTCAACAGTCAATAGTCAGTTGGAGCTGGGCGGGCGGTCGCCTGCTCTGGTCTGGTCTGGTCTGTTGCGGACTGGTGTGGCACTCAATTCGTGCCGCAGCTTTCAACTGTTTCGAGATTCATTTCGTTTGATATGGCAGTGTATCCAAAACGTCGCCCAAATGAGAGATGAGCCAAATGGTGACTTGTTGTCATCGCTGCTAGACAACTAAGCACCATAAGCCAGTCACGGGAAACTTTGGAATGCGATCTGAGTTGCACCTTAACTTATTATTTTTTGATTTTCTTTCTTAATTTTGTACTGTTTGTTTTTTTTAATATTATTTTAGTTTTTACTTATAAGCTGTTCAAATTTAAAAGAATTTTCTCTGACAAAAATACGTTTTTTTCCTTCTTTCATAAACATTCACATGATATTGAAACATTCAGTTTCATTAACATTTACTAACCTAAATTTTGATAGAAAATAGTTCAAGATTGTTCGAAAAATGATTCAGAAAGATTGAACAAATCAAAAGTTCAGCATCACCAAAAGCCGACGGAAATTCTTTTAAGCTATATTTTGAAATTGGCTACCAAAGAAGCAAATCTGACTTTTATATAGTCATATTTTATATAGTCATATTATAAGTTTAGCTCACAATAAAATATGAGATTTTCGACTTTACTTCTTCTCTATTTTCAGTGATTAAACCTGTATAATGAATTTAAGTAAAGAACAGCTTTTTATTGCTGCTTTCTGTCTGATCTACTATTCAGGGAAAACTATAATTTATAAGTTTAAAAGCAGATATAGGTCTAAGCATATTTAAGGCTATTATTGGCCATATCTTGTGTTTTTAACTAATTGCTAAGCTAGTGCATTTCCTCTATCAATTGAACTATTTAGTTTTCAGTTGGACTTCTAATCACAAGATTGATGTTCAAACTGGCTACAAAGAAGTCGCTAGCGCTTCCTGTTTAATTAAAACGAGTAGCTAACCATCAGTGAGACAGTCGACAAATCATAAAGACACAGTATTCTGCTCCTCACAGCAATCACAGTTAGTGAATTGAAAGCGTGGCCTGTCAACGCTTTTCGCTCTGGGCATAAAAAATTGAAAATCAACCAAGGAGCAGGAAGAATCGCACAGACTCAGGCACAGACACAAGCACAGACACAGACACATAGACAATGGCCCACTTGAAGTTCTGAGAAGCCAAAAGAGATATAGATTCTCCATAGCAAAGCAGAGCCAAAGCCAAAGCCAAAGTATCAAAGCCGAAATTCAGCTGAAGCGCACTGTTAAAATGATCGATGACAGACAACGTTCAACTAGCTGCTGCTGCTGCTTTAACTGCACAACAG